TTTTTTTGTCTGGAAAAATAACTTAAGAGAAATAATATCTACTGTTAACTGAATGCCTGTTACGTGCTAGGTATTGTCCGCTGCCCTTTATATAAAATCCTTACTCCTCATAGTGATTCAGCAGGGCAAGTCCTACTGTCATTTTACAGGCAGGGCAGGTGGGACTCACAAAATGAGCTGCCCGAGGGCATAGCCGGTGTGGAGTGGGGCTGGAATTTGCACACGGGTTTGTCTGGCTGAAAAGCTGGTGTTCATTACTCTAGCCCCAGTCTTGAAACTGTGACCCTTGCTTATTACTTCGTTTTCAGCCTCTCCACTAATTTCTCACGCTCAGGGATTCTGTCTTGTGGCCCATCTCCTGACTCTGTCTAGAACGTGGGCTAGGAGTTAATTTGTCCAGGCAAGTGACACACAGCTCAGTTTGGTATTGAGAAGCAACAGCAGCAATCTGTGACACTAGGGTGACCTCTTGGACTTCTGGGGGAGCTGACGTCCACCCCTTAGACAGACGGGGTGTGGCAGCAGCTGCTAGAAGGAAAGAGTCGTGGATGTAAAACCAGACGTGGAGGGGAGTTTGGCTGTCACCTCTTCTGTTTGGACTGATGGGAGTACGGGGAGGACTTCGTCACTTATAAATTTGCCACCAAGCCCAAGGCTTCGACTACAGGTCAGGGGTTCCCCAAACACGGGCCGGTAATAGCTCCAGGTGCTGTGGTGGCAACGTCTGAGTAGTTCACGGATAGGAGCTGGACCACGTGGAGACATACAGTGAGACACTTCCTTCCCTTTTCAGTTTTCCTTCTATATTTCTAACCCTGTGGGGCCCACTTTAGAACAGCAGAGACCGGCTGGTGTCTGTGCAATCAGGGAGGGAGAAGAGGCTTCAGGCTCAGAGCCGCTGGATCCAGTGGGAACTTAGTAACATTTGTTTCTCCTTGTGTTGATTTTGATGTTTACCTTCTGTTTATGGCAAGTGATACTGGTTTTCCATTGATGGTGATGGTATTAAGTTTCCTTTTAAGATACATTTGTGTCAATAAAATTGAGGGCAGGAGTTCTTAACCTGGGCACAACTGGCATTTGGGAGCTGCCTCATTCTTTGCGGCCGGTGTGGTCCTGTGCTTGTAGGATGTTTAGCAGCCTTCTGGCCTCCTCTCTTTACTGGATACCAGTAGCTAACCCCCTTTTCCCCATTGAGAATCATTGACTTAAGGTGTGCCAGTTTAGGCGAACTCATGAAGTTAGAGAGTAGAGGTAGTGGGATATGATAGAGATCCCGTGTGTGTGTGAGAATGGCTGAAGTTGCGGGAACTGCTCAGGCAGGTAGCCTGCAGGGATGGGGTGCACTTACCAGAGTTCCCGTGTGTGTCCTTCGGCATTGACATTGGTTCAAGGGTGAGGAAGGAGGAGATGCCTTGAGAAAGATGATCTAAAGCAGTGCCGTCCAGTAGAACCTCTGCCGTGCTGGAATGTTCTGAATCTGCACCGTCCTGTCCATTGCCACTGGCCGCCCGTGGCTGCGGAATGTGCAGAATGTGGCTAGCGAGAACAGGGAACCTAGCTCTTCGAAGTTACGCGTTTTTATTTTATTTATTTTTTTGAGGAGTGAAGGTAATTAGGTTTATTTATGTATTTATTATTTTTAGTGGAGGTACCGGGGATTGAACCCAGGACCTCATGCATGCTAAGCATGTGCTCTACCGCTGATCTGTGTCTTTCTCCCATCAAAGTAATTTAAATGTAGAGCGACTGTGTTGGACAGCACAGCTCTAAAAAAGTCCGAGTGGAGGGGTCAGGACGAGAGACCACAGGCTGTGAGGTGTAGACCGCATTCTTTAAAAGTGAGAAACACAGAACCGATAGGAGGGCGTCGTGGTGGATGGTCCAGCATGTGGCAAACCGAACTGTCAGACAGGAGGTTGGGGGCAGTGGTGAACATACCCAACTGACATGGCTTTAGCAAAATAAAATAAAACAAAAGCCAATGTGTTGATGCCTAAGACTATGAAGCTCAGGGAATGGACAGACCTGTGCTCTCTCCCAAGGTCAGAAACAAGGTGGCTGCCCACAGCCCCAAGCTCGTTTTCTGCTGCCTTAACAACCCCAGGGTGAAGGGCACGTTTTTTCTAGAATTTCCAGCAAAAATTGGATGACCTCATAACACTACTGACCTGCCCAGTGTCAGCTTGGAAGCCATGAGAGAGCCCTTCCTCTGGGGGGGGGTGCCCTTCCTCTGGGGGGGGGGGGGTGTCTCTCCAGCGCCCTCTACTGAGGAACCTTAGCGTTGCGCTGGCTGTAAAGGAGAGGCAGAAAGGAAGTCTGTCCGCATCCCAGCGCGGGCGTGGAAGGGTGAGTGGAGCTCAGAGGCAGTATGTTGATGTGAAGGCGAATGGGTGCGGGGCGGGCAGAGCACCTGCAGGATGTGCTCGCAGAAGAGCTCCTGCTTGAGCGGCTTGAGAGCCATCACTCTTAACGGCCCCTAAAGATCTTTCCAGTTTTATGAAGTGAGGAGAGACTAGGGGAAAAAAAATCGAGGTGTGGAATAATTGTGCTGAAGAGGCTGTTAATGGCCATGTAGGGTACGCTCAGACTCTTAGTTCAGGCTTTGGATCACACAGGCCCTGGGCTGAAAGTCTGTTTCCACCACTCGGTCGCAGATGGAGTGGATATGGTGGTAGATCTTGGGCAAGTAACTGAGTCCTCTCTGGGGCTCAGGTGACAGTCAAGGTGATTAAATGAGATGGTCTTGGGGCTGGTTACATGGCGCTCAGGGGACACAGAGTCCTTGCTTTACCTTGTGCCAAATGCTTAACCCCTTTTTGCAATGAGATTATGAAGACGTAGAAGGGAAGGATCCTGCTCCAAAGTTAGGTCCCCACGGACCTAGAATCATACTTGTACCAGGTGAACACTTAATAAGTGCTTACTATTACGAATTTAGCTTAAAACCCCGCTCCAAACCCCACATTACCCACAGTCTCTAGTAACATGCTGTGATGTATGTACAGCGTGACCGAAGAATACATAGGAAAGGGCCTCCCTGCTCCCTCTTTCCCAAAGGAAGCCTGTTTTCTGCATTTGCATGCATAGGTCTTCATGGTATCTTGTCGCTTTCACGCAGAGAATGGCAGCCTGGACACACCTTTCGGCTCCTTTCCGAGTTAGCCTATCTTGCAAATGGGGCCACTTAGCGCCTGCAGCTCTGCCTCCTTCTTTCAAGGCTGTTGAGCATTCATTCCATTGTGTGGACCTGCCCTGCTCGGCTGTCCAGCCCCCTCTGATGACCGGTTCGGTTTGTTTCTGGTCTTGGCTGCCGAGGTGCGGACTGCCCTGACTGACCTGCTGCTCTGCGCACGCCTGCAGGTCAAGTCACAAAGAGTTTAACCTGGTAGCTTGCTGTGTGGACAAAATACTCAAAACTCGTACCGACAGTCAGCCTGACGGCATGCGGTTCTCAGAGATTCATTCATTCCTCAGCTTTCGTTAGAAACGCACAGCTCTGGGAGGTATCGCTACAGGATTGTTGTAGGAAGCCAGGAGGATTGCTGGGTCGCTGGGGAGCCCCTCGTGACCACGAGGAAGGTTTCTTCAGATGGAAGGGTATGCTTCCAGCCAGGGCGTCCTCCCCGCCTTGTTCATTCAGCATCTTGCGTCCACCGATGGCCAGCTCGGCTGATTCGTGCCCAGGAGCAGGATTGGGGCTGGACTCCTCGAGATTTCTGCGTGTGTCTCTGGCCAACCCAAACGTGTTACGACAAGAGAAACCTGTCCTCCTGAGAGCCACCCCCTCCCCCGCCCTAGCATCGGTTACCGGAACGAGGATGCTGTTTTTAAGAAAGAGCATCGTATTTCATTGTGGAAAATTTGAGCCTCTGAGTCGGCAACTTGCTGGCTTGCTGATCCTTACAGTCCAGATGCCCGGTGACTGTGCTAGGCTCTGTACACCAGCACCTCTGTAGGGCCTGCCCGGCGCGTAGAAAGAGGGAGAGAAGGTGGGGCCGTGGAAGTGATGATGTAAGTTGTGATCACCACATCTGGATGGTTTGCCTACAGCTGCCCGTGTCTCAGGGAGCTGGCAGGGCTGGGGTCCCTCCCTCCAAGCCTGTGTGTGCCGGGGCGGGGAGGTGGACAGTTCAGGCTGGGGTCTTTGCATCACAAGTGCTTAGGAGGCCTTGTGATTCTCAAAATGCCTTGTTCACAGGCTCTCCTGAAGGATGAGCTGCTTTTTTTTTTTTGACTTGAGGGTGGGGGTGGGGTGGAGTCTCAGAGCAGCTTAGTTTTTCCCGAGCCACCAGATTCCCAGGTGTTCCTGGCCTCACTCAGGTGGCCTGAGGGCAGGTGTGCCTGTGAGCTGCTCTCTGGGGACAGCCGGGGGAAGGGAAAGGGGGAGGTCGGCCCTTGGGGTCGGTCTGCCTACTGCTGGCACGCTGGCCCATCTCCAGGGTCTTGAGTCATTGTCTTCCTGGCGTGTTCCTCCACTGTGTTGCTAAAAAGAAGAGGCAGGTGTGGAAGGAGATTCCTTCCCCTTCTCCTTTTTATAGTAAACTTGGTGTAACCAGCACCCTTGATAGTGTCGGGGGATGGGAAGACACTGAGTTTTAGAATGAGGGGCACTGGGATCTAGGCCAGACTCAGCTGTTTCTCACATCTTGACAAACTCGGGTGTGGGTGCTTTATTCATCTGCCCTGAGCTTTCTTCTCTCTTCTGCAAAATGTCAAAGTGATAACAGTACTTGTTGCTATGTATTTACTTTTTAAACTTAAATCTTATTATTTAAAAAATGAATCCTACTTTCTGAAATAATTTAGGCTTGAGGACAAAGCATCTTTGATTGCGACCACAGCTTCATAGAAGCCTCAGCTCTGTTTCTCACTGATGGATGAAGCCCCAGATGAGGCTGTGGTTCTGACCCAGTGAAGATGCTTTAGAGAAAGGCGTTTTGGGAAGAGTGGACTGGTGTGGGCGTGGTCTTGACAGTGTGGGCGTGTCTTTCCCACAGGTGCTGTGAGTGGCTGAGATGCTGTGGTGGAGGGGAGCCCAGACCCCGCACCGTCTGGTTGGGGCACCCCGAGAAGAGGGACCAGAGGTACCCTCGGAATGTCATCAACAATCAGAAGTACAACTTCTTCACCTTTTTGCCTGGGGTACGTACGGATAGGGACCCACATCCTTTTTTCTTCTTCCTACACCAAAGGTATGTAACAGTACTAGTTTTAGAAGATGGAGGTCCCCGTGGCAGGTTTTGTGAACACCCCGTGTCTTTCACGTCCCCTCAGCCACGGACCATTCATCTTGCCTGGTCCTGAGCACATGGGGGTGGGCTGCCTTCTGTCTGCAAGGCCGTGAGATGCCCCTTGATCAGTTAGAAAAACGTCACGTTTATTTGGTATGTTGGGCCTAAGAGTGAAAAAGATATTTTGAGGACCTAATTTGTTACCAAAAAACAAAACAAAACAAAAACAGAAACCCATCATGAAACACATATTAAAAATAGGAAAATTGAGAGTTAAAAGTATAAAGAAGTTGTTTAAAAAGATAAATTTTGATACTATCATCCAGAGAAAGAATTTCTAGTAACATTTTTGGTAACATTTGTTTTACTTGGTGGTTTATCCCACAGTCATAGCTTTCCCACGTCAGCTTATGCAAGTCGGTGGACAAATACACTGAAAACCTTCCAATACACCCTTAATTTAAATACCTGTTTTTATCCTTTGTAGCCTCCAAAAATATGCAGATTGATATTAGAAGCAGCAGCAGCAATCAGTTCCAATGCTGGAAATTAAAAAAAAAAAAGACTGATTTATTGAGAGAGAACGTGGAAATACAAATACATTATACTGGTGCTTAAAGTCAACTTGAATGTTTCTTTAATGGTAATTTTGACCACATGTATTGCTACCTGGCTTAACCCCGTCCCCTGGCCCCCTAAAGCTCAGTATTTTAAGTCAAGTAAAAGTTTATTTCTTCTTGGAAGTTTGGATGTAGACGGGGCCCCTGTTCTCCATCTCATAGCTACGCCATCTGGGATCTGTGGCACTACTGTCTCCGTGCCTGGGCAGGAGCGAGGGGCTGGGCCAAACAGCGGCTCTTACTGAGTTCCGTAGACCTAAAGAGACATGTCATTTCCATTCAGTGCCCGATGGTCAGAATGAGTCACGTGGTATCAGTGTAACTCCTGGGGCTCGTGGGGGCAGTGGGAACTGCCAGGACCCTCCTGCCACACAGGGCGAAATGCTGCTGTGTTTATTTTATGGTGCTGAGATCATATCACGGAGCTGTCGATGCATCTTGCCCTTTTGGGTCAGCCTTACAGCATAAGCATTTTCCACTAAAACTTCTCCTTCAGCAACATTCCCAGGAGCTTTCCCTGTACTTAACAAAATAGTTCAAGAATTAAAACATAGCAGCTAAAGTCGAAGCCCCCAGCATGCCCCCCCTAACCCCGGAGGTAACCACTGTCTTGAGTTTGGGGTTTATAATTTCCACGTGTATCCTTTTCTTCTTTACCCTTACAAATTATATGTTTGTCACCCGCAGTGAATTTTCCTAAACAACACGTGCAGGTGTGTAAACCGTGCGCGCGGGCCCCATGTGAGGTGTGCGCTTCCGGAGGGTGTCTGTGAGTGTCACCCATCCCCCTTGAAGCCCGCCCCGCCACGTCAGACCAGCCCCCAGCGTCTCCTCTCTCCTCTCCCCCCAATTCCAGGTGCTGTTTAACCAGTTCAAATACTTCTTCAACCTCTACTTCTTGCTTCTCGCCTGCTCCCAGTTCGTCCCCGAGATGAGGCTTGGAGCGCTGTACACCTACTGGGTCCCCCTGGTGAGTCCGTCGGCGTCGCGTGTGTTTAGTAACGTCGGGGTTTGGGAAGCGGAAAGTTCTTGGTCTCTGTCCTCCAGGCGTGTAGAACGGGACCTCGGAAAGGGTGGCCTTCCAAGGGACAGGGTGCCCGCAGGCCAACACGTTGGGCGTCCCCGAGGTTTTCATGTTGAAGCTGCATTTCGCCCGCCACCAGGGTCAGGCGAGGCGGTGCCTGTGCCATTCACCGCTTCTGTCCGTCAGCCTTTCGTCGTCTCAGCAGAGAGCTTTCACGTGCTTGCCGTGCGTCACCGGGTTCTAGGCTCTGGGTACACAGTGGCAATGGGAGAGGGAAGGCTTCCGACTCTGTGGCTGGTGCTGTTTGAAGTGCTTTCTGCAGCTACGTTTTCGTTCATTACGTAGACTCTTTCAGCCTGAGGGGCTGGCAGGGCGGCAGATTCCGTGCTTCAGTGTGTGTGGAGTGGCCTGACCAGGATGCCCCTCCATCCTTCTGCTCCCGCCTTTTCTTTCTTCCTTCCTTTTGGCAAATGGTTATTGAGCACCCCCTGGGTGCTGGGTGCTGGGGGTGCAGCTGTGAATGAAACACAGAGATTGCTGCCCTCGTGGAGTTGACCAGCAGTGGGGACGAGCAATAGACAATTGTTTCAAATGGTCAAAGAGCCATGAAGGTAATAGAATAAGGCAGTAGGAGAGATGGGGTATCCCAGGTGCCTTTAGTATTTGTTGACGGATGAAAGTGGTGGGTGGAAGGTGTGGAGGGGTAGCCTTAGCCAGGGTGGCCGTGAAAGGCCTCTCAGGGAGGTGATGGGAAGACGAGAGCGGGAGTATCCCGGGTACAGGGAGCAGCAGTGCAAAGGCCCTGCGGTCGGCATGTGCTTCGAGCACTTGAAGAACAGAAAGAAGCCCAGAGTGTCTGGGGTGCAGAAAGAATGGAACTGACATTTCTTTTTCTCCAGAGACATTATGAAATATTATTACTTCTCACTAAGCGGGACTCGGAAGGAACCCTTGGATTCTCTGTCCACAATCTTGTTAAAGTTTGCAGTGGGAGAAGGTTGTTAAAGTAGAAAGGATTTAAGCCCTCCTTGAGGAAACAGGAACACACGTTTTTGGTGGCGGGTGAGGAATGATAAGGATGTGGTGCAGAGGGAGTGGATGCTAAGGCCCTGGGAGTGAGTGTCCACACATCATTCCTGCCACATTATCTGACAAGTCACCACAGCAGTTCCAGCCCTGAGAAGAGGCTGGGGGTTAGTTCTTCCACACAAGCAGTGAAGGTGCTTTTGGGACGTGGGAGTGGTTTTTTCCCTGCTCTGAGTCATTTGTGGGTTGAGTCGGGTGCGGGATAACAGACATCCCTGCCCGTGTCGGTGTGTGCACGCTTCCACACCGAACGTTGCAGACTCAGAGGCCAGGCTGGTAGAAGTCGGGGCTCGTGTCCCATCCCAAAGCAGAAGATGCCACCTCGTTCTGTGAGGTGCAAACGGGGACCCAGAGTTGCCAGACCCCAAAGGTAGAACTTCAGACTTCTACATGAAATACCCTAATTTTTTTTAAAGCTTTATTTATTTTTTCATTTTTTGGTTTTATTAGGGAGAGTTGTTACAATTTGCACACATACAATATAAGGCATATAAGTACATATACGCAACATACTGCACTTTTTTTTTAGTTTGCGTATATATGTCCTGTCCGTTGTTTCTACAAACATTTAGAACTTTGGCTTTTTAAACTTACATAGTTATCAAAGGAATAAAGCAAACCACAAAATACGAATTAATTCAAAAAGCAATACCTGTATAAAGTCAAACCATAAGTTACTTATTTAAGAAAAGTTAGTTTGTAATGTGTGTAAAATACCATCTATCACACTGCACTTTTACCAGTTACTTTTTTAAAGTATAGTTATTTGAAAGATAATACAGTCACGTGATTCAGGAAAGATATAAAAAGGTCCCTCTTGTCCAGTTCTGTCCCCCAGAACACTGTCTTTTCATTTCTTTCTCATTCTGACAAAGTTTACAAACAACGAATAACTTTTTTTTGGACGTGCTTCTGTCATTTACCATAATTATTCTTTTTTTTGAAAGCTGTCTCAGCATTATTTAATAGTCACCCATGGATACATAAACTAATTGGAGGGAGATTCATATCCCAGAAAATTTTACTTTTTTTTTGAAGATGAGTTTTGTTTTTTATTTATTTTTTATTTATTTTAAACATTTTTTCATTGAGTTATAGTCATTTTACAGTGTTGTGTCAAATTCCAGTGTAGAGCACAATTTTTCAGTTATACATGAACATGCATATATTCATTGTCCCTTTTTTTTGCTGTGAGCTACCACAAGATCTTGTATATATTTCCCTGTGCTATACAGTGTAATCTTGTTTATCTGTTCTACATATGCCTGTCAGTATCTACAAATTTTGAAATCCCAGTCTGTCTTTTCCCACCCCCTGCGCCTTGGCAACCATGTTTGTATTCTATGTCTGTGAGTCTGTTTCTATTTTGTATTTATGTTTTTTTTTTAGATTCCACATATGAGTGATCTCATATACCGTAATTATTCTTAATTGAAGTATGATTTATATACAGTAGATTAAAAATTCTTGTGTTTTCCTTGCTCCTCAATACTCCTTTTTAGAAAAAAGGATTACAAGATATGCACAGTTCTGAATACTTTTTTCTAATTTCCAGCATTTCTTTCTCTTGATTTTTAGATGTTGACAACTCATTTTAAAAATGATAAAGTGCTGTGTGGATTGAACACACCCCTCTCCCGGTGGTCTGTCTGCAGGCTGCCAGTTTGAGGGTGTAGGGAGTTCCTTGGTACCTCACATTGGTGCCTTCTGGGCTCCGGAACCCTGGACTGGGACTGTGGGGTGACCAGAGCCCATCTCTTAAGTCTTGTCCCACAATCCAAATCTTGCTGCTCTATTGCCTCTAAAGTGGCATCTGTTCATTTTTCTTTTCTTTTTTATAAACTTTACTTGTTTCTTTATTTTTAGAGGAGGTACTGGGGATTGAACCCAGGACCATGTGTATGCTGAGTGTGTGCTCTACCACTTGAGCTATACCCTCCCCCCCATTTTCCTTTTTCAATTATAAAAGGACTCACTGTTGCTGGAGAAAAATTTGAAGGAGAAGAACAACAGAACGCCCAGCTGTGCAGCCACCCGAGACGCACTGTCTTGTTTCTGGTCCATTTCCGTTCCTTCTTACGTGCGCTTCTGTTTTATATACACCCTAACTTACGTTACGGTTGAGTCTCTGTTATTAAATACATAGTTTTATAAGTTAGGATCCCACGGTTTTGGAGAAGACAGCTGTATGTCTCCCCACTCCCTGCCTTTTGTTTTCTCAAGCATGACATCTGGTCTGTGCTCTCACCCCTCACGGTGTTGATTCATCTGCCCAGCCCATCCTGTAAACCCATCATCCAGACAATTTTTGGGGTACAGACCTATTAGCACCCTTACAGCCTTGTTTATATTATTATTGGCATCTGTGTGGGAAGAGGGGACTTTAGTTGTTTTTTTGGCGTAAGTTTTCCATTCTGTTAACCAAGATTCATGTAGATGCAACTAAGAGAAGATGGAATTATGCAGGAATTTACATGCCTGAGAAACAGTTGGGTTGCAAACGAGATCAGCTCTGTTGAATTCTTCCAGGGGTGGTTATTGGAGGTTCCCATGGGCTGGAGGCAAAACAGACTGATAGAGAAAATGATCCCTCACTCGATAAACCAGAACTTTGAGCAAAGGAGAGTAAGAAACGTCACTGAGATGATGCCAGGGTGTGAAGAAGACCTGAAGTTGCACGGAGATGGAGAGTCGTCTTTTTCTGAGGACTGGACCTTGAAATATCAGAAAGGGCTTTGGTGGGGAGGTGTGGGATGTATATATAAGAATATCCGCTGCGTCGTGGTTTAGGGCACTAAAGCTCTGGAAGCAAACAAATGCCTGTTGATAGTTACCTGACATTAGTCTAACAAAACCATGGGATGCTGCCCGGGAATTAGAAACCGTGAAATCGTGCCAGTGACGTTGACATGGAGACGATGTGAATCAGGATCCTTTTTTACATGAGAAGAACGTGGACCGTGTGCTCCCATTGTTATGACCCTCTCCCCCCACAGCAGATATTTCTGCATGTAAATGTGTATGTAAATACATAGAGGTCTGAAAGTTTCTTCCAGACCTAACCAAAGCTAGTGGTTATCTGTGGAGCTTGGAGTTGCCTTTGATTCTTTTAAATGTTTTTGATCTTAATGTACAGAGACCTCTGTCTTAAGTCATCTCCGCGTCTTTCTGGAAGCTGGAGGGTCATAGGAAACTATGTAGATTAGGTGTGCGTTCAGGATGTTTGAAACCAGTTGAAATAGAGTTGCTCCCTCCACGGGGGAGGCCAGATTGGGTCTTGGGGCTGGTCACCGAGTATCAAAGTGTTGAGTGACTTGATGGCAGGTGCTGTGCCCTTTTCTGTTCCTGGTATCGATTCTGTACCTCAGCACCGATGATGCTGACTCCAGGGTCTGCAGAAGCCCCCCCCACCGGAAATGCAGTGGGGTGCAGCGTGGGGGCCGAGGTGACCTGGAGGGCTCCCACCCTTCTGAAGAGGGCCCAGCCCTAGTTCTAGCCCGTGTCTCCTTGCTGAAGGGTTTCTCCTTGGGTTTCCAGGAGAAACTTTCCAGGAAGCCTGATTTTTGGTGCAAGTGGCTGAATCGCCTGGCTTCCTGGAGACTGGCTGTGGAGTGAAGAGGGCCGGTGTCTAGCAGCCTCCGGCATTCCTGAGATTTCCACCTGCCTTCTGGCCCCTTTTACAGCCAGAGTCTCTGGTGATTGTTCAGAGATGGGAGAAGATGCTTGTTTTGTACAAGTTCTATTTCTCTTTCCAGGAGCTGCAGAGAGGGGAGTTCGGGGTCAAAGGTGAATCAGACAGCCTTTGTTTCCAGGCGACTGAGGCTGATTGCCCCTAAACCCCCTAGATTTTTATGTAGAGAATCAGTTTCCAGGTTTTGGCTAAGATACACTTTGAAATGTTTCTTGACCACCCTGGAAGTCCTCTCATTTCAAACCCAGCTGTAAACGCAGTGGTTCAGAATGAGGGCTGTGGGGCCAGATGGTTGAGGTGCTGCCTGGGCTGCAGTTTGAGCCGCAGTGTGATTGGAACAAGCTCTTCTGAGCCTCTGTCTTCTCGCTTGAAAGTAGGGGCGATCATGCCTACTGCCTTGGCTTGTTGGGAGGTTCAGTGAGGTGCAGCAAGTAAAATGCTTCAAATAGCTCCTGGCATATAGGAGATTCTCAGGAAACGTTCTCCATTTAATTTTACGATTCCAGTACCAGTGACCTTGTTCATTGTCTGGATTATGCTTTAGCCTGTAACTTTTTTCTTAGTACCAATATATTAGAGGGAGAAATTCCTTAGGAGACAGCTGTGAAATAACCAATAACATTATATGAAGACCAAGTAATAAATCTAGGTTATTTTTTTTGTTATTAAGATACAATCTACATGCCATAAAATGCAGAGATACTATGTTTACAACTCAGTGTGTGTCGACATGTGTCATCGCCCATGTAAACACCACCTCAGTCATGACGTAGGACATTTCCATCACCCCAGAAAGTTCCCTTTGCCCCTGTCCAGTCAGTCCCCTCCCCAACCAGAGGTAACTGCTTTTCTGATTTCTCTCATAGACTAGTTTTGCTTTAGTATATTTATTTTTTTAGTAAATCTATTTTTGATGTACAACTTTACAGAAGAGCCTTAGCACCTTCAGAATTGCATGTCTGTTCACCACCACCACTTGTGATTTGCTTCCAGGCTCAGACAACGCCCCACCCCCATTCAGGCTGCTTTCTCAGTATCCGTGGCTCTTAAGGACCTCCGAAGCCGAAGCCGGACATTTGGGATTTATTTATGGGCTACATTTGCATCTCTTTGTAAAGCAATTCCTAGCTTAAGAGGTGGCAAATCTTCTGGGATTAATGAGAACTTTTTGTTGTGGGGGTGCATAGATAGGGTGATGTAGGAGGCGGTATTTGCAGGAGGGAGGTTGGCGGCTCCTGTCTTTGTGATGAGCACACACTTCTCATTGACATCGTGGAATTCAGCCAGGCCCATGCAGAGAGAAACAGAAACTGGAACATTGGAAAAAACAAGTAACAAAAACCTGGGTTCTGGCCCAGAACAAAACAGCAGCGTGGGGGATGGGCGGGGGTTCTGCAAACCTGGTCTGTGCTTGTCCAGAACGGGCTTTCTTTCTCTCACCTCCGTATGTGGTCTGGTTATGCTTTTATTCTGAAAGGTACCAGTTTTGCTTTGACTGCAGCGTGTACTTTATATCTGATTGGAAACAGGAGTAATCCTTTGTGAAGATGCGTGAGCCTCTGGAGGAGTTTCACAAAGCAGCACATCTCTGGTTAGATTTACATAAGAGATTTAAAACCTTTGAATTGGAGCTAATATATTTCATGGGGTAAACAGTGTGAAAATGAAATCCTCAGAGAATGCACTGCTGCTAACCAGTTGTGCTCTGCATTTTAAAAATGACTTTCAGAGGAGGGATGACAAAGGTATTTTGTAAGAAAAACGGATGACTGTTCTTGCCTTTATTGAGACAAGAGGAAAAATCTAGATGGAAATCGATTCTTGCGACGGGGTGACTCACATACGGGCCCCTGCCAGGTTTTGTGAGTTGGGGTATCTGACTTGAGAAGGTCGGGCTCTTTAAAATTTTTTATTATTATTAGGTACTTATGCAATTAATACATTAATTTTCTTTGTAGAAGTTTAAAACATTACAGGTAAGACTGCAGTCCCCACCCCATCCAAGTCCCCAGCCTCCCAGAGGAATCTAACCAATAGTTAAGGACACTGGAAAATCTTTAAAAGTGTGTGGAATCTCTGTTGATGTTTATTTGAACGATGTTATATTGTTATGTTCCAAAGGGTTGATTTCCCTACTGGCAGGTCAGTACAAACAGGGATCTGTCTCCTTTTGTGTCCTGGTGGTCCATCTTATTGGCTCCACTCACCCAAGTTTCTCCAGATGCAGAACATTGTGGCAGTTACGAGCAAAGACCTTAGAGCTAAACGTCCTGCATCATCACTTACGAGCTTTATGTCCTTGGGCAAGAAATCACGCAGCCTCTGTGTGCCTCAGTTTCGTCACTGTAGCCTGGCAAGCTAGGTGATGAGCTTCACTAAGGAAGGTAAACCACTTCGAATGGCACCGGGCACGTGGCGAGTGAGATACGAACGTTGGAGGTCACCTTGCCCTTGCCTGTGGACGGACGGTTCTGGTGTTACTATGTTTTTCACTCTTAGGATCCTGGTGGCAGTGGTGAACAGGGACATCCTGTACACGCATGTCAGCGAGGGTTTCTCCAGGGTGTGAGATTCGGAGAGCTGGCCTTGCTGGGGCTTATGCATTTGGAATAATTAGCAGGTCCTGCACTGTTACCCTCCCTAGGGGCCTCTGGCCTTTTCTGTGCCTGGCTCCAGGAGGGGAAGGTGGGTTTCAGCAGGGCTCACCCTGTCTCCCTCTGTCTGCAGGGCTTCGTGCTGGCCGTCACCATCATCCGGGAGGCGGTGGAGGAGATCCGATGCTACGTTCGGGACAAGGAAGTCAACTCCCAGGTCTACAGCCGGCTCACAGCAAGAGGTCAGCCTCCCGGCTCCGCTGGGGCTGCCTCCTGCTGCCCGGCCCTGGGGGGTGGGGGCACTGGGTTGCGACTCAATCACAGGCCTGCTGACAGTCAGGGAGCAGAGTTCAAGGCTTGGGGCTGGTGGGTGTGCTGATGCCACGTGGTGGGACACTCGGTTGCCGGCATCGGGGAGGCCAATGTGTGCCCTGGGCCTGGGGGGACTCCGGCTGCCTCCCTGGTCTGCCACCACCCTCTTAGAGCCAGTGCTGTCCGTTGACTTGTGCCTCATCAACCTGGAATTTAGTTCTGTGTGCTTGGCAGCCTCTGCTGCTCACCCCTTTCCCCGGGCTGGCTAAGGTGGGATGGAGAGCATGTGGAGGCTGCAGTCTGTCCTACATGAGTTTCCAGGGGAACACAACTTTGATTAAAAGATACTCTTCCAACATGACAGAAATAATGTTACGACTTTGCAGTGTTAGTTTTTAAGGAGGCACAGATTTATGTGATAAATACTGCATCTGTGAAGGTTTCTTTGAAGGCATTTTATAAATCCTCAAAATTGAAGAGTGGAGAGTGAACCGTCTGACCCAAAGAGAAATGACAGGGTAACCTAATTAATTTTTGAAATTAAAAAAAAAGCCTTCAAATACACCATCGAAAATGCACAAAACAACCTAGTCAGTGTCGACTTCTGTTTCCAACTACAAATTCTGCAGTAGATGCGTTTCCTGTGAGGTTGTGTTTAGAAATGAGAGGATGTGACCTGAAATTCCCTAAGATTACAGATCCCGTTCAGGGATTAATAACGTTTTGGGAAGGGTTGAGGGGGATAAAAGCTGTGCCTTACCTTCAGGAAATTGAGGATTCTGAAAGAGATAATGAGATAGCTGCCTGTGGGAGCTCGTGCCCAGCCCGAGTGTGAGCTGCTGTATGGTAAGCACGTTAGTCTCCTGATGAAGCTGTCCGCCTGCGGTTCCAGGGGTTTCAGGAGAATTTTCCTACTAGGAAAAATGTTGGGAAAATATATTTAAGGCTCCAGAATTTAAAAAAAATTCCCAGAGGGCATGGAAATACTTTGTTTTAGTGCATTTAAACAGATTTCCGTAGCTGGTGGTCTTAAAAAGTTGCGAGTCCTTGGGAGAAGGAGGGGATTTAGAGTTGGTACGGGAGCGCTTTGTTATTGCCAAACTACTGTATTTAGGATGCTTTGCCACTAAAGAAAGAAAGCCCAGCATAATCTTTGCAGAGGCAGGTGGCTTGGGCTTTTTACGTGGGTAATCAGAGGACCCGTCTGGAGGGTGTTTTTTTGTGGTTCGTGTATATTAAATCCTCCCTTAATAACATATTCTGACTATAACGTTTAAGATGCTTGGCAACCAACAAAAGCCCCATCAGAGAGGATGCGGAGGGTCTATTTAGAGCTCAGGAGGAGGGGTCCTGGGATTCCATTCATTCATCTATCCGGCTCCAAACCTTCTTTGGTTCTTTTCATATTGCAATTGCTTGTCCTGTGAATGATTTTTCTGCCCTCCCCTGCAGACCCCCTTCTCAGCCCCTGCTTTAACTTCCCTCAGGTCTTGAAAAGAGCCTGAAGAGAATTGGCAGATGGCTCTAGCATTAGAAACTTTGTCTTCCTTTGTTGGTCTCCTTTTGTGGCCCGTGGTTTCCATTGTCATGACAATCCACCCGTAGGGGAACACTGGGCAGAGTTCCGAATATTAACCCAGACCCTGGCTCTGCCGTTTGTTTTGAAAGCCCCCCAAAAGCGCTGAAGAAACTGTCGACTTGGAAAGTGATGGAGGGGAGGTTAGTTACTTGATCCCCTTTGGGGGGAAGGGCCAGACTCAGAAGCCCAAACGGGAAGATTCAGAGAGGAAGAGAAAGGAAGCCCTTTGTGACCTTGATGTTCAGATACCTCATAATGCTTTCTTGGGTGAGGCTTTTCACCGGGATCTGCATTTAGTGAGTTCAGAGGCGAAAGGGAACGAGGTAGTATGTGCACATCCGCACGGGGCTGTTTTCTCTTTTCATCACGTGGCATCTTAAAATGCACTTTTCAGCACTCTTCAGAGTTCAAGAAAGTTGGGAAATCAAGGCATCAAGTCCTTGACCAGGAGATTATAGGCCGTGGTGTTTACCTGCCTGCTGCATCGTTTCCTGATTAATAATAGCAGTACTTGTGCCGACAGAGTTAAAACACTGGGGGTAGGTAATCATTTCTAAGTAGCAAAAAGGTTGCAGAAATCATGTGGAAAACTCCCACTTGCCCTTCACCCAGATTCATCGATCGCTGAACGCTTGGCTGCGTTTGCTTTTCAGTGTTCGCCCCCTCTCTGAGCCGTTGGAGAATTCAGTTGCAGACATCATTCCCTTTTAACCCCTAAATATTTCAGTGTTTAATTCCTAGGAGGACATTTCTTTTAGGTATCAGAGAATAATTTTCAAAATCAGGAAATTTATCAGTACACTGCTGTTAATCTCACCTGTACTCCAGACTCAAAATTTGCCATTTGTTCCTAAAATGGTTTTTAGTGGCTTTTTTCCTCCCCTCATCCAGGAACCAGTGTGGGTTTGCCAGCTGTATTTAGTTGTCTTTTCTCCTTAACCTCCTTTACCCTGGCAGAGCGCCCAGGACTTCTTTGTTATGACATTGACATTTCTGAAAAGGACAGGCCAGATACTTTGTACTTATCCCTCAATTTGTGTTTGTCTGGTGTCTCAAAATTAGATTCATGACATAGCAGGAATACAGTTTCAAGGATGCCAGTGGCACAGTTTTGGGGATGGATGTTGCCAAAATTTTAAAGGCATGATGTTAATCAAATTGAAAAAATTTTGAACTTTGAGGAAAAAAATGGATTTTAAACAGCTGAGCTAAAAATCCTGAAAATAAGGAACGCACCATTGGGAGGAAAAATGGATGCTATTATATATATATATATATATTTTTTTAATTGCTGCTTCCAACATTGTAGGTCATCTTATTTTATTCAAGGTGCATCTAAAACAACATTCCAGTGGATTAATTTTTAATGTAATTTTCATAGTTAATAAGAAATATTTGAATCATAAAATCAGTCTCCATTTAGAAATGACCTTTTATTCAGTCTTCAAGGGTATTTGAGCTGCCATCCTTCCGAAGTCTGTGATAGGTTTCTGTATTACAGAGATCAACACGAGGGGCTGGGGCTTCAGGGAATTAATGGTCCAGTGAGGTATCCAGGCAGGTAAATGGAGGATTAAAAAATGTAACTAGTAATTGTATTTTAGTGGTAAGAGTGTTGTGGCCCTTATCAGGAAATGTCCCCTTTCTCGATGACTGGATCCCTGGGTTGAGCACAGTGTCTGGCAGTTGAAGAAAGTAATGGTTCTGAGTTGGTGCCTGCTTCCACCTCCTCCCTGCTATGTGGGCGGGTCCCTTAGCTTGTCAGGAAATTTGGGATAATAATAGCACTTGCTTTGGAGAGTTGCTGTATATCTCTTGCATGAGAAGAATTTAGCACTCTGCTGGGACTTGTTTGGTCTTTGCCCAAGAAAGGCAGTGCTGATGGTACTATAGCAGGGGTTCACTGAATGTTGGTGGGTGGATAAATGGAGGTATGAGCCAGCGGTTATGGGAGGCCATCAGAGAGGAGCTGATGACATTTTCCCGGAAGAGGTGACCTGCATCCTGAGTCTTACAGGATGGAGGAAAGCAGGACTGGCTATACGATCTGAGGTGCCTAATTCAAAATGAGCATGCGTGGGCCCCTGTTCAGAAGTTACTCAGAATTCCAAGATGGTGACAGCAGGGCATGGAACCAAGTATGGGCCCCTCTGAGTGCAGGGCCCCGTGTCAGTACCCAGATCACATGCCCATGAAGTGGCCCTGGTAAAGGGTTCTCCGAAGTTCACAGGTTTGATGGCTAGGATTATGGAGATGGAACCCCAGCTTCTGGCTCCATCTTGTTTTTCCCAGTTTGGCCTTGATCCTGAGCCTCTCTTTCCTGGAAAAACAGAAGAGTCCGTGTAGGCCAGTGAGGACCTGAGACTGGGGGAGTTCTTTCTGTGATCCAGGAACCTGTAACCAAGGCGTGCTGCAGAGAGAGGATGACACTGGAGCTGTCCAAAAAATGCTGTCCAAATTGGGAAGCAGGAGCGGAAAAAAAAATGAAGAAAGATTTACCTACCATAAGCCAGCGAGGTGCTGGACGAGGTCTGCTCTGTAATTTTTTAAACAGCCTTGTGGAAGTCGCTTTTACACATAGGGAACTGAGGCTTAGAGAGGGGAAGTGTCACGTCTGGGATCATGTAGCCAGTTAAGGGGTAGAGCTGTGATGGGAACCCCAGCTTGTCTGTCTGTGAAACCAAGTCTGGGCGCCAGCCAGTGCCGGGAGCTGAGTTTCACATGCGTAAGTGGAATATCTCAGTGATTTGCCACTCTGTTCAGCCTTAACACATATGCTTTCCAGAAGGACTTTTAGATTAAAGTCCCTTAAAAAAACATTTCTGAACCCAAAGAAATCAATCCAACCTCATTCTAAGGTGGACAAGCTGTCGATGGATGTTTTAGGATGAGTAAGCACCCCGTCTCCTCCCGCTTGAAATCTACATTTAAATATCACAGGAGACTTAAGAGAGGTTCTTAGACCTTTATCAGTTTTGCAAATTTAATTGTAGGGCTGTCTTTCCAAATTAATAGCATTCAGTGGCCCTGGAAACCCCAAAGCCAAAGAAGAGAGGATGTTGAAGTAGTAGCAGACCCACCAGAACTTTGTTTTGTTACTTGAAAGATTTGGGCTGGATCAGGAAAGAATAATTAGCAAACGAATTATTTCTCTTTATACATGTCTTCCCCAAACCTAAACTTTAATTCTGGGGGTGGGATGAGGGGGGTGTCTGCCTAGAGTATCCCAGGTGGTGAGGGCAATTGGATTTGCATTTTCACAAGATGAATTCCACGGGTCTTCATACCAGGAATGTTTTCCAGGACTAACTTGTGATGAGGGGCTAAATGAATCAAGCGGATAATTAGCCTTGAAAGAAAGTGCAAACAGAAGCATAATTAACACAATCGCTGATGCTTCTTTCCTGCTGGGGACATCTGGGCGCATGGTGAACCATAAACCATAAGCCGAAGGTCTATGCGAAACGGAGAGAATCCCTCCTGTCTTCAGCTCTTCAGTACATCTGTCGTGTAAAAAACGCAGCTTTCCCGGTGGTTCCTCCACTCTGCTCTGTTCCTCCTTTCCCAGTTACAGAATAACCTCCAGGGTCTCACTTCCATTGGAGAGTGACAACTTTTTTTTCCCAGTTTAATTCAAAATCCACTTTGCACCACTGTTTAGGATTGCAATGAATGTGACTGAATTTTGAGGTCTGAGGACGTGCACGTGTTTCTTTTAGGGAGTTGTATTCCATTGGCGTTCACCAGGAGCCGGTAAGATAGCGCAGGGAACGTGTGTTCAGTAATGGGGAGTCGGTGAGCTAATGGTTAATTAGCTAAACTCAAACTCTGTATTCTTTAAACATCAGTACCGTTTATGTTTTCAAAGTATGAACTCTGTTCAGAGTTCATGAGGTAACACTAAAAAGAGCTTTTTTTTTAGAGAATTATAGTGTCGATTTTTCCCCATTTTTCAGTGTTATTAGGTAGAATTGTTACAGTTTGACTGCATGTATACAGTATGTTGCATGTAAATACATATACACAATGTATTGCCCATATTAAACAAATCTACATGTATGCACTGTTCATTGTTTCTAAGAACGTTTAGAGCTTTAGCTTGTCAAACTTAACATAGTTATCAAAGGAATAAAGCCAACCATAAAATAAGAATTAATTCAAAAACACACACATCCCGCTATAATCAGCAACATTATAGTTGCCAAGATATGGAAGCATCCTAACTGCATATCTATAGATGGATGGATAAAGAGGATGCAGCATGTGTCTATATATATATATAAAAAATGGAATACAACTCACTTATAAGAAAGGATATTTTGCCATTTGCAGCCCTTCATTCACTTTTTTTTTTCACTTCAAAAACCAGAATTTTATAACTGGCATAAGCATTTCCATTGCACAGCAATGGTCTTTTTGATATTCCTGCAGCCACAGGACTGCCGAGGCCCTTACTGAGGACCACAAATACAGCTCAGCAAGCAAAGAATTCCCCTTCCCAAGCTTCCCTCATTAAGATTCAGGGCATTCGCTTTTACAAGTCTTATTTAAAACAGATCTTGCCAAACGTTTTCTCATACATTCTCTGACAGATGCAAAGTTGTTATTTCAGACCCATAAGGTTCTTTTTATTCTTTCAAAGTACTCAGTTTCACTTTATTACAGATCACTGGTGAACTGATCTACTGTTTAATTATTTAAAAAAAAACCTTGAAAAAAAATCTCACATGCAAATTGCACTGTTATCTTTCCCAAAAGGTATTTCCCCCCTGCCGAGGGTGTTGGTCCACTTCATCATTATTGGGCACCAGGAGCAGGGGAGGACCGTTTATATGTTTATTTTAAAAGCCTCTGTTGGGTATAAGCTTGTTATATTTAAACTTCAGCCTTTCTCAAGTTCCCGCTATTTTAAACAAAAGCCCCAGGAAGTGGCTTGTGGAATTTATAATAATACTTTCCCATCCTTTGCCTGTTTGCAAATCACAGTCTTTTCTTGGGCTTTGGGGAATGCAGCCGACCCAATTAGAACATGAAAACTTCAGTTTTCAACCTATGAACTCTGCCGGGTCTGCAGAGGCGTTTTCGTGTCAAGCCCAGGAAATGTACACATGCTGTAGAATTTACAACTCATCACTGTCACAGTCAGATTAGGGTGCGAGTTAAAGAGTTGTACATTAACCAGGGTTAGTGCACGGTGGTTGCTGTTAGAGGTCTACAAAGGCAATCAGCGTCCTGCTCGCACAATGAAAAAGAGAAGTGTAGTTGGGGGTATGGGGGGGTCAAAAAATTGGCCCACATGTATTAGTGCTCCGGAGTTAAAAAAATTTTTTTTGGACTGTTCTGCAGTTTGACCGAATTGTCATTTGCTCGTTTCAACTCAAGGGAAACATCTGGTTTCTCTCTGTGGTGTAGACAAACTGCCCTTATTCTGAAGCTGTCATCCATGAAAAGCATGATTTGGGCTCAATAGGTTTGCTTATGAAAGGCTTGGGGTCCATCTCTGTGGAAATAAACAGCTCTAGTAATTGGAAGTTTGTTCCCCATTACAAACCCTGGCTCAGAGGTGACTCGGGTGACCTGGGGAAATGTGAACAGGCCGCATGTATTTTATGGGAGGCACTTTGTGATGGAGGGTGTGGCCAGCGGAGTTTCCCATCACCTGTGTAAAAATCTCTTCCTCAGCTTCTGCAGAGTTCCTGCGAAGATACTTAAGAATCCCAGAGGCTGGAGGTTGGAGAGTGGGTGTGAGAGGGTCCAAAAGAGAAAAGAGGTCTGGAGTGGCGGGGTGAAGAGTGGTTTTTCATTTCTCGGATTCCTCTGTTGAGAAGCCGGGGAGCAGAGTGTGGGTGTATCTTGTTCCTTTTTTTTTTTGCAAAAACATTGGTAGAAAACTCAGGACAGCGGTGCATGTAAGGTTAGAGATCGATGTTTTGAACCCTTTCCACAGTTTTAAGAGTTTTCTAGGTTCTTTGAGTTAATCCCAGCCGCTGAATGCTGGGCGCCGCACTTCTGGCTCGGGTCCCCTTTCTCTCCCTCTTCCTCCCGCCCCGGCTGGGCCTCCCCTCCCAGCCTGCAGCCTCCGTAGAGGGGGATGTTTTATTCAGGTGTCACCAGCCAAAAAGCCCCAGGGAGTGTTGGAATATAAATGCCGGCATCTGCCTTCCCGTCTCTTTCCTTCCTGTTGCTTTTTCTCCTTTCATTCTTCTGGTTTTATTTTGTCTAGAAGGGGGAGAGTCCGAGGGTCTCCCTTTGTGGAAACTGCAAAGCCGAGGCTCATCGCCACCAAATGCTAAAATGCTAATGAAGGGGCGGTGGCCGAGGAGCCCTGTGACCTGGTGGCCGTGTGGCTCCTGCTGCCTCCTCCCCGGATGGAGCCGGTGGCCTGTGGCTGACGGTCAGTTACAGTAGGAGAGCTCAGCCGGCTGGGGTCAGTCAGAAACTGCTCTGCAAACACAGCGGATTAAAGGGGTTTTTGTTGAGGTAGAGCAGATGGACGGAGAGGCAGAGTTCAAATTCACCGATCGTAAATCAAGACTCTGTTGTAGAGGGGAGAAATCTGGGCCTGGTCACTTAAAAGTTGGAGCTAATTTAATTTATTTTTTTCTTAATGGAAGAGCACCTCGTGCTTGTTATAAAAAAAATCACTGTGAAGAAGTTAGAAAGTATAGATGCCAAAGAAAGGGGTTAGCCCCCTCCATCCCCAGGAAGAATCACCATCAGCCCTTTTAAGTCTAACCCTCCTGATTTCGTCCTGCGGCCCCGGAACAGACACACATGTATCCACATGTAGTTACTATTTAATAAGAATTATAATGGTGCTCTTTTTTTGAGTTAGATGTTAAGAGACAACTTGTAAGTAGGTCTTGAAGATCAGCACACAGGCCCAGTGATGGTTTTGGGTCAGGCCACCAGCATACACTTTAGTCATAAAATCAAAGACAATGTGTAAATTTATGTTTGGGAAAGTTGGGGTGAGCTCAGGTGGAGGAGAAGTTCATTGGCCCTGGGGCCGTGCTGGATTTACGATCCTCCTTGGAGGAAGGCGGATAAACTCCCCAGAAGGGGCAGTGTGCCTGCGTGGAGTCTTCCTGTCGCCCCCTAGTGGGGACAAGAAGAACTGTCCAGGCAGGAAAAGAATTCCGCGTGTGGAACCTTCTGTGCATTCACCCATTTCTAACGATCTGACTGTTAGAATTAGCGGATGTTCTCTGTTCCCTCTGTAAATATATCGACACAACAAATGCTTATAAGGCTAGTAGGTCTCTCTGGAGCACTTCTGGGGTCAGGTTGTTGGGCTGAATTTGTGTTTTATGAAAACGAGGCCCCATCAGATGCTCACTTTGTAGGTGGCGATGCTGTAACAGGGAGGGTCTAGCCGTCCTCCGAGCAGCTGAGGGTGGGTCCAGCTCAACTCCGTCTGCTGTGTGTTTCTGCAAGTCCTCATGTTCCAGGGCTGCCCTTTTAGCGTCAGGTCTGCTCATGTTGTCGTTATGGTAACATTTGGTTAAGTACAAAAATTAGCTAAAAATCAAACCCCGTGGAACTTACTAGAAAGAGTTGTTTCAACTGAAATTGTTGGGACACTTTGGAACATCTCCGTGGTGGTGAGTTCTAAAAAGACCCATGGCACTAAATTATGCAAAAAGTGTAAAATCGGGTGGAAAATTGTAGAAATCTAGACTTGTGGACGTAGATTATTTCACTAGTGTCTTTAAGTTCTGTTTAAAACTAAAGAAACGAGCACTAGTTCCTAGTCGGTGGATGGTGGGTATTTGTCGAGCGAATGAGTCCACGGCGGGGGGCAGCAGGTGCATGATACACGGGTCCCCCTTGCTCTGGGGCGTATACTGAGGACTGAGAGTCATTATTGTTTCTTTTCTCTCTCTCGGCTGAATGTTAAATGGGCTTATTACCAAAAACATGAAGATTTCTGTGTTGCTCCCTCGTGTGGGAATTTGACCCATCACCAGAATAAAGCCCCACCTCCTCTACAGACTTGTTCACAGGGCGCTGGACCACCCGGCCCCACTAGCCCTTCATCTCTTTCTGTTCATGTGATGCTTCCGGTCTTGCTAAAGGAGCTCCAGCCTGCGGCCCCACACAGGCACATATTGTCCCTGTGCACCGCTTTCTGCTGTCTCGTGTCTGCCTTTCCTCTGATGCTGGTAACCAGCATCCCTCATCTGGTTAATACTGACCTCAGCTCTCCTGTGAAGCCTTTGTTGGTACCTCCCCGCACCCCATCCTACTCATTCATTATTTGTTTATTGCCTGCTTCCCTCCACTAGAGTGAGGCCGAGGTGTCCCCGCCCTCGGAAGACCTGGCCCCCAGCAGGCCTTCAGTTAACGGTGCTTGACTGTTGGGTGGATAAGCCCGTGCCCTCTGTGTGCTGGGCCCTGTTCCCCGTCCTCCTTCAGAGGCGGAGGTCTCTTTCCTTTCTGGTCCCTTCCGACACGAGACCCACTCCCACCCGTCCATACCCTGCTTTGCACCAACAGCATCTGGCTGCCTTTCTCACCAGCTCGTGGGTTTGCAGACCGCCACTGGGGTCCAAGTTCAGCCCTCCACCTTTCTTTTTCTGATACGGCCTGGGAGCCAAGAGCAGTTTTTACATTTTAAAGTATAAAAGCGCGGAAGCCCATCGGCCTTTGGGGAGAACAGTTGTTGGGAGAGTTGAGGTTGTCTGCTGGCCTGTCTGCTGGCCTGCTCGTTACAGGACGGCCTTGTCACCTCCTGTATGAGACTGTGAGCTTTTTTAGGGCAAGGGGACTGTCTTTGATTTTTGAATTCCCAGAATGTGGCCCTTCAGTAGGTGTTTTTCAAGTTGAACTAAGCTTTCTTTTTTCATCCCAGCCTCCAGAGTCAGATGAGGGTGTGACTCTTGGTGCTGGCTTGCATTGCCTGTGAGACTAGGGCAGGATGGGGGCGTCTCTGAGCCGACTTTCCTTGTCTGAAAATGAGGGATAAAGCGTCTTCTGACGGCTGTTGAGAGGGTACATAAAGCAGTCAGGATGTCCGGATCTGTGCTGCGCTTAGCACGGACTTAGTGCTTAGTGTTGGCTGCTCCCGTTTCCCCAGGTGCACATCCAACCAAAGCTGTGTGGTCTGACCGTAATCACACGAGCCGTACTGTGCGGCAGTTGCAAATTAACAGAAAGTAAGTCATGCTGGGTTAGCGTCTTTCTTTTGGGCGGTGGTGAGAATTAAGTGTTGACGTTCTGTCCGCGGATCTGGCTCTGCATTTTCTACCTCATTTCTCTGTGTGTGTGTGTGTGTTAGAGGCTGAATGGATCTTTAATATCCTGAGTTAGAATAGCTTCGAAGGCGCCGTTGAGACAGAAGATCTGACGTGCGGGATGTGAGTCACGCAGTGCTGTACAGGGTAGGATTTGGAGCGGTCTCTGCAGTAGATGAACCTTTTCTCAGAGAGACAGGAGATGCTGTGTGTTGGGCTGGAGAGGGAGCACGTGCTTCTGGGAGAGATTCTCTCTCGAGAGGCGTATGCAGAATTGCGACGGATTCAGACGTGTTGTACCCTGGGCCTGTTTCCTTGCAGGGACGGTGAAGGTGAAGAGTTCCAGCATCCAAGTTGGAGACCTTATCATTGTTGAAAAGGTGAGTGGGGGCGCACCCAGCGTGTGACCGCGGCTGTGCGGGCGGGTGCGCGTGGGACGTCACCGCCATCACTTCACGAATCCCAATGTGTGACTTGTGTGTCTGGTAAATAACTGAACGTGTGCTCTCTGGGATTCTACCCAATAGCCTTGCCTGGGGAGAAACATCTCCTCCCCATGACACACACACACGGCAGGTTTTCAAGGTCTCTGTGTGCTGGTGAGCCAGAAATCCTGCTTCCAAACGCACGTTTTGATTTCCTGTTTGATGTTTATTGTTTTGAAGTCTTTTTTTTTAACGTATCAAAGTTTTTCCTAGCAGTCTGCTGCCTGCATGAGCACGTAAAAATATTCGTCATCTACCTTTTGAACAATTTTAGCTTGTACTTTTTGGCTTAACCGTTGTGCTTTTCTGTCATTTTATGAGGAGTAGGGGTTAAGTGTAACACGAGAACAGTGAAAAGGCTAAAAATGCATTTTAAAAACTAGCATTTTTGGTATGTTTGTTGCTCCAACAAACACTGATCTCTCGTTTTAATGTGTACATTTGGAAGATACTAGATTTGGGGGGTGGCCCTGTCGAGTCTTGGAATAGTATTTGATTAGAAGAGGATTGCATCGTAGCTTGTTTCTGCCGGAAATGAACTGTGCTCTTTTAAAAGGGTTAAATCCGAGACCTCACAGTCGATCTGAGGTAGAGTGAAGTTCCTCTGGGTGGCAGCTCTGAAGAACCACCCAGGCCTCTTTATGTTATTACACACGTTAATGTTCACAGTGAAACGAGGGCTGCTGCTGGCGTCCCTCCTTTTTTAGAGAACAGCTTCCGTTGCCTCCTGCTCCTTGGCTTCCTTATTAAAACCCCACTCGAAGCCAACCATCAACCCGGAAAATTGGCAGAAGCAGAAAGCTTGAGCCGAGCGTAAGGATGTCTTTAGTTTCAGCAGGCAGCCTGGAGGAGAGCCGGCTAGGGGAGCAGGCTTTCGGCCGCCGGGTCCTCTGGTTGGAATTTCAGGAGGTAATGGTTGGATTCGCCAGAAGACTAGAAACTCTCTTACAGAGATAAGATTTCAGTAGGGGATTAGTAACGTAGCAGCAGTGTGCAAGATTTTTCAGATTCAAAACAAAATAAATCCCCAGATCTGTCTTTGACAGAGGCAGAAACTTAAAAGGGGCTGTTGGTTTGGGCTGCCCCCCTCCCACTGAGGGGGCCGGGGGTGGGGGCGGAAACCTCGCACACCCGTCTTCACAGTTACACTTTTCTGTTCCCAACGCAGAACCAGCGGGTCCCTGCAGACATGATCTTCCTGAGGACATCAGAAAAAAACGGTAAACATCTGGGATCAATTTCAGAAATAACCATTAACCTTTCAGTGGTAATTTGGCAAAATAATCATTTGAAAATGTAACAGAAGTTAGATGATCATTTTGGAGCCACAGAGGCAAATTAAAAATGTTTCTCTTAATAGAGAGCTGTCATTAAAAAAAAAAAGATTTTTGGTGAACGCAGGGCAGGTTGGTAGATTGTGATCAGGACAGAGATAGTCGGCCCCATGCATGAGTCACAGCTGGGAAAGTCACACCCAGGGGCCACGGTTCTCCCTCTAACCCTCTGGGCCGCGCGTTAAGCTCAGCCTCAGGAGTTGGCGGGATGAGGAAGTGGGTCTAACAAGTAGAAGCAGAGAGAAATGAGCTCTCTCCTGAGGAAATACTGGGAGATGCATCAGGAGACGGGGCAGCGCAGACGCCGGGGAGAGAGGCTGGTGGCCTGTTCCTCCCTGGCTTATGAGTGGTGGGGCCGGTGGGGCCGTAGTCGCCTCTGCTCGTCAGTGTATTTACTGATACAGCCCGTTTGTCCGAGCGAACCTCTCAAGTCTCTTCCAAGACCCTAATCATTGCAGTCACAGCTGTCCCTTGGTGCCCGAGGGGGATTGGTTCCAGGACCCCCCACCCCACAGATCCCAGAATCCATGGGCGCTCAAGTCCCTTATGTGAAGTGTTGCAGGACAGCCTGCCCTCCGCACCCTGCCCACAGGTCCTGCGTCCGCAGGTTTGGAGGCCGAGTATGTTTCCCGGTGTGCCTGCCCCACCGCCTGTCCACCCCATCAGATGACTCAGATCTCCTTTCTTTTTATTTCACTTTTAAATTTCAGCTGTTCTGAGGAGACAGGCTGTTTCACTCTTGGCCGTTAGGCACAAGTTAGGCACAATTGGAGGCCTTTGAGCCTCGGGAAAAACTCGCATTCATATTCCTCTGAGGTTGCAGCAGCCTGTTTCACTATGAATTGAATAAAAAGTGCAGATGACATTTTATACTAATAATATATTAGGTAATCCGGAGGCGGGGTGGAAGGCAACTTAGTTAAAGCAGTCTTCTTTTAAATACTGCAGCTTTGTCTGCAGATCGGTTCTTGTGTCCCAGTCCCATGAAAACGATGTGTTATGGGTTAGGGTTCCAGGAGTGTTCTTTCTTGCTTTAAAAAAAAAAATTAGGAAAGATCTTCTTGAAAGTTCTCAGAAGCCTTAACTGCAGTGTCAGAGAATTCAGTAGATTCTCTGCTGAAGTATGGAGCTAATTGCTCAGACTTGTACATCAGACTGAAATACGCACGCATGAAACATGCAAGCCGGTCATCACCGCAGACGGTTCCATGGTCCCTGTGGTCCTTTCCGCATTCTGAGCAGTTTGCACGAATCAGCTCTTTAGCCCTCGCTATGTGAGGTTGGCGCCATAGTATCTTCATTTGTGCTCTCGGGGAAACTGAGGCTCAGGGGGGGGTAAGTCACTGCCTTGGGGCAGGTGAGTAGTGAGCGGTGGAGCATGAACTTGATCCCAGGAGGTCTGGTTCCTGAGAAGGGACTTGTAACCCCTGTCCCAAATAGGCTGAAATGGTTACCCCGTGCCAGCCACCGTGCTGGGAGGGCAGTCATCCCACTGAATCCGTTACAGCAAGCTTGTGAGTTTGGGGACAGGACACACGGTCAAGAAGTCAGCCGGACCTCCCCCTGTGAGTGGGCGGTGGAGTGAGGATTTGACCCCAGAGCTCCCGGAGGAACTGGGACATCGGGTATTTGTTTTTCCCTTTCTGTCATTGGCCGTGGGCTGGCCGTTTTCACAAGGACCGGAGTGGGAGCTGCTCAGCGCCACCAAGGGAGGGATTCATGAATTGCAGGGGAGTAGACCGCGCCTGCCTTCCCCCAACAGGGTCTTGCTTCTTGCGGACGGATCAGCTGGACGGGGAGACGGACTGGAAGCTTCGGCTCCCCGTGGCCTGCACGCAGAGGCTCCCCACCGCCGCCGTGAGTAGCTTTCCCCGCAGAAGCACCAGCTGGCACCTGTGTCCTCGCAGGGCTCTCCAACTCAGACCCCTCAGGGGCCAGACGTGGGACGTCAGGTGTGAGGGGGGTTCTGGAGAGCCTTGAGCGCTTGCTGGTTCCAAGGAGAGTGGCCTTGTGGACGCAGACCCAGCCTGTGGGGGTGGGGCTCTTCGGAGGGATGCTCAGACTCCTTGATGAGGTGCCTGGTGTAAAATAAACACACAGCCCAGAGCACCTCAGTCCTCTGCTCGGAATCGCTGCGGGCGTGCCAGCTTACTGGGAATCTGTCCTGAGGTCCTGGTGCTTCTGCTCAGGCCCTGACCTCGGCTTTTGCCCTCCCCCCTCTGCCCGCCGGCTGCAGCCACCCTGGCCTCTCCGTCAGGGGTGCTTCTGCCCCCCGACATTTGACCTTGCTCTTCTCCACCAGGAACGACCATACGCACGTCTCCTGGGTTTTGTGTGCAAGTCCCCTCATCAGAGACGCATTTCCTGCCTACCCTCTCCTTGCGCCGCTCCCCCCTCCACTCACTTCAAGGCAGTATCTTTGAAAGCAAGGTTCTGTCCTGTGTGTTCACTGCTGTGTGCCCAGTGCCTGGAACAGCGTGTAGAGCAGTGTGTGGAACAGCACACAGGTCCTGTCTAAGGGGACAGTCACTGTAGTTGGAACCAACCGGCCCTCAGAACTCCTCATGGCCCCCCACTTGCCCACCAGCCCCACATCACTCATGCCATAATCTCTAGAGTGAGGTGGGGGGGGAGCCAAAGAGTAAGTTTAATTGCAAGCCACGTGGGTTGGACGTGGCCTCTGGACTAGTTACAGAATCACAAAATGTAATTTAAACGCCCAGAGACTGACATGTCCTGTAGGCGGTCTGAACGGACCAAACAGAACACAGAAGTTCTTCTGGGCTTGTGGCCACGCTTATTAATGCTGCTCCTGACCACATCCTGTGAGGAGAAAGTTCAGTGTCCCAGTGGAGTTAACGGAGCCATACACGTGCCCACGGGACTAATGATTCCTCCTGGCCAGTCGGAAGTGAAGTAGCACCAGCATTATTACTATTTTTTAGACCAGGAATTCTGGTGAGTTTCTAACTGTGGTCAGGAGGTCGCTGCAGGCACCATTGTGCCCCTGAGATGGGGCTAATCCAGCAAGGGGGTTCTGGTTTTATCTGGGTGACATGTTCCACTTCCTGGTAAGATTCCTTCGAAGAAAGGACTGTGATCCTCAGCGTGGTTGGAGGCGCTCTCTTCAGGAGACAGCCTGGAAGAGTCTAGAATTGAGAGGCGCTGCTGTTCCTGCAGCGCGGAGCTCCTTCCTTGGTGTGCCCTCTGGAGGCATCACCCAGCTTCATAAACGTTCACCTGCTCCAGGCTTGCGCTGAGGTCCAGAGACAGATAAGATGCCACCATCTGTGCCACCAGGGAATTCTCAGCCTTAGGGACAGAAAGGGTCTGATTAGGGAGCAGCGTTTTGACAAAGTCATAGATGAAAAGAATGGTGTGGAAGGCTTCACCTGAGTCATACGTGAATATGTTCTTATTCATTCATTCATTCATTCATTCATTTATTTATTTATTTTTAAAAACTCACATTGTTTAGCGAGCTCTGCAGGAAAAAGTGAAACGTGCTGCTCGCAGCCTCTGCCCCAGAGCTTACCTTCTCCCCCGGGGCATCGTGTGAAGTCGGTGGTGACTTTCCGTGTCGTTTTTAGCACACTTCCTTACAAACGTACAACTGCACACTTGGTGGTGGAGTGTGGTTCCCACAGCTTTTTCTTTTCACTTTGTGTCCCTGGGCCTTTTCTTGTCAGTATGTAGAAGCCACGCTGCACGTGCATCTGCCTGCGGGGCCTCCTGGGTGGTGTGCAGGGAGCACAGGGCCTGCTGAGAGCGCGGCCGGTGGCCCCTGCTCCACTCCAGACCCTTGTTGCTAAGCAGCATCGTGGCCTGAATTTGGCCACTTCATTAGGTTTTCCCCAGTCTTTTTTTTATGGGGGCAGAAGACACACAAAATTTACCGTCTGCATTTTTAAGCAGACAGTTCGGTGGCGTGAAGGACTTTCACGTTGTTGCACACCCGCCACCGCCATCTCCATGGCTCCTCATCACGGAAGACAAAACTCTGTACCTGTTAAGCACCACCTCCCTTTCCCCTCTTCCCCCAGCCCCTGGCCACCACCATTCTCCTTCTGTCTCTCCGAATATGCCTGCTGTAGGTGCCTCAAGGCAGTGGGACCCTGTGGTGTCTGTCTCTCTGTGACTGGCTTGTTTCACTTAGCACAGTATCTTCACAGTTCCTCCGTGCTGTAGCCCGTGTCAGAATTTCCGTCCTTTTTAAGGCCGAGTGATAGTCTGTTGTGTGTACCGACCCTGTTTTTATCCACGCATCCATCAATGGACACTTGGGTTATTTCCACCCTTTGGATGGTGTGAATAATGCTGCTGTGAACATGGGTGTCCAGATATCTTTTTGAGACCCTGCTTTTGATTCTTCAAGTGGAATCACTGTTTACGTGGTAATCCTGTGTTTAACTTTTTGAGGAGCCATCATGCTGTTTTCCACACCATTTTGTATCCCCACCAGCAGTACGCAAGGGTTCCAGTTTCCTCTACGTCCTCACCAGTACTAATTTTTTTGTTTTTTGGACAGTAGCCATCCATCCTCATGGGTACAAGGTGTTTGTTCTTCACTTTTTCACCCCTCTGGCCTTTCCAAGGCTTTGCACAGGGTAGGTGCCCCATCGCCCTTTGTTGAATGAGTATTTTAACCGGTAGGAACAACTCTTGTAAAGCAGCCTACAGGGGACGGGGACCTGCACCCACAGTGATCTGTGGAAATGCTGGGCAAACGCAGGTCAGCGCAGAGTCTTCACTTCAGGGTCTTGGGCTGTCTTGGGATACGGTGGGCAGCGACTGCTAAGCTTACTGACTGGAAGGTTTCCCTCTGTTTTCCCACCTGCCCTGGGGGTTTTGAGAGCCTGTTTGGAAAATACACTTGCTTTTGAAAAATAGTGGGTGCTTCCTGAGGTCCCTTTAATCAGACACCGACTTTGTTTTGCCTCTGAAACGTCACTGTTGTCGAACAGGATCTCCTTCAGATTCGCTCGTACGTCTACGCGGAGGAGCCGAACATCGACATTCACAACTTCGTGGGTACTTTCACCCGAGTGAGTACTCTGGGCTTGACCCGGCGCCTGGCGTGGAGCGCGTGTCCGCGGGGAGGGCCTGCGGGGGGCTTGCCGGTCAGCCGGGGAGTAGCTTTACGCCAGGCGGGGTGCAGCTCCCTTAAGAAGGCCCCGCCTTGAAAACTGTCATGTGTTTCTTAGTAAAATCGACACACTGCGATTTTCTTCCAGCCTCTGCGCAGCTTGAATCACCTGACAGCTTCGAGCCAGGTGGTGTTAGAATCAGCGTTCACGCTGGTGTCCAAAAGCAGTTACTCCTTCCGTCTCCTTCACGTGAACCACGTCTGCTTTTATTCCCGCAAGTCCTGTCCACCATGGTTATAATTTTTAAGCTGCTCCTCAGCCTTTCAGAATAGAAATTAAATTTGGATTTGAATTGTTCCAGGAATCTGGGACAGTAGACTCATAGAACCCACGTTAAACGGTGTCTGCTCTTGCTCTGTAAGCCCTTAGACTGGCCAGCAAAGGGCTGTTTCTGTTTGGTTTCCTCTGCATTCTGGTTCTCACCTTGTAAAGCATTTCTTCAGTGTTTCTTAAGTCATGAACCAGCGTTTTCAGGTATTTCCACGGGGGTGAAAGGTCCATGGATGATGGTTTATGAGCTCGGCCCTTCTCTCCCGGCTGGGCTGGGGGTTTCCAAATGGGAGTCGTCCTCTCTTCCTGTCTTGAGAGGAGCAGGCTGGAAACTGCCAGCGGGTTCTCCCCAAACCTCCGTAGGTCAGCATGTGTCCATTTGGTCTTTTGCAGGAGGACAGCGACCCTCCGATCAGCGAGAGTCTGAGCATCGAGAACGCGCTCTGGGCTGGCACGGTCATCGCGTCAGGTACGGCGCCCTTTGGGAGAATATGTTAGCAATTTGCCAAGGAAAGAAAATCGTTTGTATAATGAGAATAATCATCTGTCAGTTGGGAAAATTAGTTGTCAGTCAAATGGTGTTTTCCACTTGCTCCTGCGCCTCCAGGGAGTTAAGCTGACATCTGATCGCCCCTCGGGCCCTTGGAGACTTTGGGCGGACAAGCCGCTCTGGCCCGTGGACTTTGCCACAGCGCCCATTCTGCCAATAGCCCTTAATTGCCACTCCAGATTGACGTCCTAATCTGTACCAGAAACTGGATCAGCCTGCTCGTTCTGGCTGGAAGCTGTGTCCCTGGGGACTGCCCAGCCCGTCCTGCTGGAACAGGGGCCCAGGAGGGGGCTGTAGGCCTGAGCTGGGTCCTCAGTGTTTCAAGACTCCACACTAACGTGGAGATTGCCTAAGTCCGTGGACTCCACAGCCGAGTTTGCACAATGGCCTGTTGGGGTGCAGGAAGAAAAGGTTCGAACACTGGGGTGGAACTGAGCTGAAGGGGGTCCAGGGGCTGAGCCTGGTCTGCAGCGCTGGGGTTGACACCAGGGGGGCCGCCCATCTGCCCAGCACGATGCCGGGCCCCTCACGTGTGTTCCGCGTTCCGCTCGCCCTCCCAGCGGCGCCACGCGGGCTTGTGCGCATATTATGCCCATTCTGCAGGCGAGGAAACTGAGCCTCCTCCAGTGAGGTTAAAGTAACTTGCCTGAGGTCACACAGCAGATGAGAGGCAAAGATGGGGCGTGAACCCAGAGACTTGGCCTCAGAAGCAGAACTCACTATGCAGCTATCATTATTATATCACATTTATAATTATATATTATTATTAACTTACAATTCCACTGCTGACACCTTTCTGTCTTTACTGTGGGAGGAATCAATTTTTTCCCTTTTCAAGCATGCTCTCTCTCTCTCCCTCTCCTACCAGCCCATTTTCCTCTGCTTGATGCTGCTTTGTGGCTCTTTAGTACCAAAAAAAAAAAAAACCCCAAACTCTCAATCGGGATGCTGTTTGGCAAGGAAAGCAGTGACCAGCTCAGATCCCACAGACTCAATGCAAATAGACAGGGATGACTGCTCCCTCGAGGCTTTTTGCCTTTCCCTTTCCACTGCTGGCCTGTATTCGCACCACAATCTGGAATGTTCTCAGTTACTTGGTGACTAAAGAAGTGAGAAATTGGTCCTTAAGATTCCACACAGGCCACTGCTCACTGGCCACACCAAGGCCACGGCCACACAGCGCAGGCAGCAGCCCCTCCACCCCTGCCTCTCCCGGGCCACTCTCCCCCCAAATCTCCCTGAGCTAGTTTCTCTTCCCCACCAGTTTTCTCCACTTTGAAATCATTAGCTAACAAGTAATTAGTTATTCTTCTTAATCTTTAATAACTTGGGTTGAAAAAGAATTTTTTCAATGTGCGTTTTGCAGATTATCGGGAAGGTGGGCCATCTTTGCCTGCATGTGTTTTGTTTCTTCTTTTGTCAGTTACGTTTTTGTCCTTTAGTCATTGTTCTGTTGTGGTTCTTATCTTTTCCTTAATCATTTGTAAGAGTTTCTCATTTCTAATGCCTAAACCTCATATCCTTTTTCTCCCATTCCATTCGTCATCTTGTTTTTTTTTTTTCCCTTTTTTGAAGTTTCTTTTTTTTTTATTGACATACAGTTAATGTACAATATTATAGAAGTTTCAGGTATGCAACATAGTGATACAGAATTTTTAAAGGTTAATATTTCATTTGTAGTTACGATAAAATGTTGGCTTTATTCCCTGTGTTGTACAGTGTACCCTTGTAGCTTATTTATTTTATACATAGTAGTTGGTACCTCTTAGCACCCTCCTCTTCTCTGCCCCTCCCCACTTCCCCCTTCCCACCCGTGACCACTAGTTCTCTGTTACCTGTGAGTCTGTTTCTCTTTCGTTAAATTCACTAGTTTTATTTTTTAGATTCCGTATGTATGTCATCTGGCTTTTAAAAAACTTTTGTGGTGTATTTAATATTCAGGAGTTAAAAATACTGTTTTATGGGTCTCCAGTCTGTTAGGGGGTAAATGGTGTCTTGTTATTAATTGTTTTCACTTTTATTTCTTTAGCTGTGAGTGGCGGAACGTCTTTCCAGGTGTGAGCCGTTTCTTAATATTTTGGTCCATCAGTTTGCCGTCTGGGTTCTTTTTGTTGTTAGCTCGGAAGAATGCTCTCCAGAAGAAGGAGTATCAGATGATCATCTCTTACGTGCCACGAGCATTTTCCCACAGTCCCTTGCCTGTCTTGTGTTTTTGTCTGTGATGTGCTTTGTTTGGTTGGTTTTTCCAGGTAGAAATTCTCAGTGTTGGTGTTGTCACCATATTGAGCCGGAGGGTCTCTGCCTTGTGCGTTTCCGTTCTCGTGGCACACTTCCCTCCTCTGAGTCACACTCTGGTGACCTTACACATGCACCTTCACCAGTACCGTGTTGTTTGACTTTTACATTTTTGCCGATTTGAAGGACATTGAATAAATATCTAACATATTGATGTGGCTTTAAAAAATAATCTGTGAAGTTGAACATCTTCCTTTGTGTTTAGTTTACTTGCGTTAAAAAAAAACTCTGTGCAAATTGCCAGTTTATGCCTCGTGCCCATTCTTCTCTTTGATGGGCTCATTTAAAAACATGACTTCTACACTCTACACCATCAGGCTCTCATCCGTCTGTTTGTCATCTTAATTGCAGTTACCATTCCCCAGTTGATCTCATTCACGTTTCGGCACGAAGGTTTAACTTTTTATATAGTCAGACCTACCGACGCTTTTTTCTTTACGGTTTCTGGTTTTTGTGACATGCTGAGAAAAATCTTCGCTGCTCTAAAATTATAAATGTACACCAGTGTTTTCTTTGGAGTGTTTAATGTGGTTTTAGATGAAAATATTGGCTCTAGCTGGAATGCATCGTGGTTTAAGGAGTGAAGTTAGGACAAATAACTAGCGAAGGGGGTCTTCCTTCGGCTCCAACCGCGGCTCCAGACACTTGGACCGATTTGTGCTGGTGGCTTGGTGTGAAGCCACAGCCTGATGGGGACTGGAGACGGAGCACAAGCTGGCACTCACTTTGGGCTGGAGAACATCCTGTGATACACGCCTGTGTCTTCAGGTGGATCAGAGGGAGGTGCTGAGGAGGTCAGAACAGGTGGGGTTAAAACCCGGTTGTGTGCACCTGGCACCGGCAGGACTGAGGTCGGGGATACTGGGGATGTGCCCGTCTCCTCGCCGGGCTGTGCCGTGAACGGTACACACTTCCCTTTTTGCACTCAAGGTAGTGGTTGCCCTTGGGTGAGTCAGGGTAGGGGTGACTGACGATTAGTTTGCTCGGCACTTGTTTTGATGATGTTAATATTTCCATAAGAAATACACGTGCACGTGTCTGTTTGGTTTTCGTTCTGGTGATTTTCTTCTCTCTTTCCTACTTTCTTTCTTTCCATGCAGCACATCTTTATTTAGCACCTTCTCGTGACAGCGCCAAGCTCCGTTGCTAGGTCTGGTGCTGTGGTTTCCCAGGGGATCCTTGTGCCCACCTTCATGGGTTTATACATTACTCTCAGCTTAATACAGACGGCAGACGAGATGGGAGGAAGGAGAGTTCTGTGATTTCCTCTGAAACCAGTGAAAAGGGAAGGTGCTTTCGTGAGGACGTGAAGAATTCTGAGGTGGAGGGGATGAGTTTGAAAAGGCTTGTCAGCCTGAATGTCAGAGGTTAACAATAGTGAGTCTTGTTCGTCTGGTACTTTTTACTTTTGCTGCCATTCTCTTGCTTTGATCTCACAACATGAAATGAGGACATTTAATGGAATGAAGAATTGTGTCTCAGAGAGGTTAAGCAACTTGCCTAAGGTCACACAGCCCTGAAGAGATCATCTCCTGGGAGGGGGAGAATGGAAGGTGAATTGGGATCTTGAAGATGGGAGAAAAGATTTCAGACGGTTCATCAGAAATGTGCTCTGCAGTTAAAACATGCATTTTATCACTTGTTTGAATTCTTCTCTTTGTGCTTGGTGATGTAGGAAGACAGGGAGAGAGCTGTGATTCCAGTGATTCAGTGGCACTGCCTCCCATGCCCTTCAGTGGGCGTATGTTTTGGAGGGAGATTGAGGAGCTGGGCAGTTAACATTTTCCTAGCTGACCTCAGTTTCCCCTACTTCTCACCCAGTAGACTGCTGACTGCACTCTGATTCTAATGCAAACGCAGAATTAAGTGCGAGCTGTTTTCTTCTGTTGCTCAACTAGAAAAACAGCCATCAGGCGTACTCTTAATTATATGAGATTTCACTTTTTAATTCCCTTTAGAATCTAACTCTTGTGTCTTGGTCACTCCACTGTTATCAGTTGGAAGTTTAAAGAAGAAGAAAGCTTGCCAGGCGATGCTAAGGGTCCAGCTGCATTGGCTGGCATCAGTTTGTAGAGGATGCAGTTACCATGGTGACCCCACACAGTGCTGCTAGGCTGAGGAGTCACTGGGGCGGTGATAGGAAAGGGATGGGGAGGCAGATAGTGGGGGTGCTTGGCAGAGAAGGAGCCTGGATGTTACAGACTTCAGTCCTTCTCAGACTCCGTGGAGAGGGAACGGTTTCTTGCTCCACTTCCCCCACGCTCCAGTCTGTAGCAGATGGATCTGTGTGGCCCTGCTGTGTGTCACCAGCACGCAGGTCACACCACGTGTGCCTTGCCCCGTGAGTCTGGTAATGCCCAGCTGGTTTATACCCTGTTCCTCGGGGCTTGTCCTTGGATCACACACTTGAACGTCCCAGCAGCATCTACTTGCTTGCTTACCTTGTTGCGAATGAGGAACAAAGGAGTCACGGTGTAGTTCTGACCCAGCTGCACACAGCCGTGGAGAGTTCGGAAGGACTTGTGAAGTTCCTGACCACAGCAGCTTGGCTTGGTGGAGATGCTGGCTGGCGGGATGGAGAGGATGCCGCGGTCTGCAGGCGGCAGAGGGCGAGAGTGAGGAGGGTGGTGGGGACAAGGAGGGACCGCAGGAGTGACAGCAGAGGAAGCAGGGGCAGAGGTCTGGGGGTGAAGGGGCTTGGGTCAGGTGGTCTTCAAGGTCTGGGTGGGGACTGTGATGAGCGGGGCCAGGCTAAACGGAGTGTCTGTGCTCACCACCTGCTGCGAACAGGGTGAGGACTACAGACCCAGCGGCATCAGATCTTCCAATTTTCCAGAATAAGCCAGAACCTCTTTTTTATATGAAAGCTCCTGTGTTTAGAAGTTGGCTACAAATTATAAACCTTTAAAGCCCCGGGCAGACCTAACCAGTGCAGCTCTGTGGGCTGCCGGTGGGCGTGCTGCCGCCTTGGGTGACTGAGGCCGGGCTCTGCATCTCCTGGAGGCAGTTTTGGCCTTGAGCACAGAGAGGTGTTGGGGGATGGCTGTTTACAGCAGCCTTTAGAGGCATTGAGACTGGCCAGTGCTGGACAGGGGACACTCCCTTCAGGGGCCCCTGTCCTGGACCCTCTTGAGCCCTGGTCATCAGGGTTGAGACCCACCCCGGAGTGAGTGCAGTGGCCTGCAGCCACCCCTGCTCAGCCCAGGCTCGGCTCCCACTGTCGGACCATCTGCCGCGGGGCCGGGCCTGCGCTCACTGGAGCCTGCCATCTGCCCGGGAGCCTGCTCTCGCCGACCTGCCATCTGCCGAGAACCTCTCTGGAAGGGAATCACATTGTGCAGAACACTGTGTGCGTTAAGTTGTGGGGACCTCAGTGTCTCCACCCAGGGCTCTTTGTCCAGGAGACACGGCCCTGGCACCTCCTGTGGGGTTGGGCTCGGTTCCCACCTCTGTTTCAGCCTCCCCGAGTGTTTTGGTACAGCCCTCTGAGGGCGGCACTCCGAGAGCCAGGGGCCAGAGGAGAGAAGCTTAGGGGTTTTCTTTATCTTTATCCGGCGGAGACCAGCTCGTCTGTATTCCTCGGGTCTTTCCTGAGAGCTTGGTGGGCTGGCCCTTCTCTTGCTTCAAGCTTCTGCTCAGATGTTCTCAACTCAGAGACTGTGTCCCTGCCCGCCCAGTACATACCAGCAGCCTCCCCAGTCCTCTCCTGTCTTCCTCTGCTTGTGTCACGTGCCGCGCTCCGTGATTACCCAGGGTCTTGCTTTCTTTCTCAGTTGTCCGTCTCCCCCACTGTGTGGAGCGTCTTCCTGGCACACACTGAAAAGGGGAGACAAAGGTACGTTTCTGACAGATTATCGCCAATCCTCCCTCTAAATCAGGCTATTCCAGTTTACACCCCGGCCAGCATCATGCATGACAGAGTCTAGTTCCCCGCCTCTTGGCTGACCCTGGATGTTCTCAGTTTTTTGGATTTCATTGCAGTAGGATAGGCTTAAAAATGGCCATTCGTTGATTATCCCTTAGGTTAGGCACCTTTTCTAATGTTAATTGGCCATTTGTGTTTCTTCTAGGAACTCTTTACAAGGATTGCTGTCTTTCATTATTGTGCTGCAGGCAGGGATGGAGCGGGAAGTTCTCAGGAACGAATTGTCATCTAGACAGACATCCCCCAAGTGTGCTCGTTACACCCCAAATCTGAAAGGAATCACTTAGCGGGAAGAACGTGCCCTACTGAGAGGGGTGTGTTCACTAGGCCATGAAGTTTAGGAAGTTCTAGGCACCCCTGGAAGCTCTCAGGTCAGTGGCATAAAGGGCAGAGCGTTGCTCCCCCACCTCTTCTGCTGTCAGAGGCTGTCGGACCCCAGAGACCAGCACTGACCAGTAGAACTCTTAGCAATAGTGGAAGTGCTCTGTGTCTTCCCTGTCTGCGTGGCGGCCACTAGCCTTATGTGACTGTTGAACCGGAAATGTGGCCAAGTGAAAATGGGCAACTGTGTTTCATTTAATTTCAATTGAGTTTAACTGTGAGCGGCCACACGTGGCTGGGGGCTTTGATCTCGTCGGTGTGGACGGAGATCTTGGTTGGCCCCGGCGTAAACTTGGGGACATTCTCATGGTGTGGGTGCTGGAGTGACAGGATGTCTTCTCAGGCGGGTCAGACTCCTCTCTGTAAGCCTGCTTGTCTGGACTAACGATTCTTTGGGTCGTGTTTTTCTCGTTTTAGGTACTGTTGTGGGTGGTGTTCTTTACACGGGGAGAGAGCTCCGGAGCGTCATGAATACCTCAAATCCTCGAAGTAAGGTGTGTGCGCGGTCTCGGGGTGTGCTTCCTCGCCAGAGCTTCCTGACCTGATGTCGTTTGAGAAGGGGTGTTGGTGGGGTGAGGCGCTAGATTTAAAAACGGGGGGCACTTAATGGTATGATTTCATTTATACAAAGTTACCATCTTTTCCCGTGTGTATGTGTGTGTAGGTGTGTGTATCTGTAAATATGGGCGCGTGGTGAATGTGTGTCCCTGTGTGCCGGCAGCCCTCGGAGATGCTGTGGACGGGTTCCACGATGATGACAATGAAACAAGTCACATGAACGTTTTGGTTTCCCAGTGCATGGGGAAGTTGTGTTTACACTGTACTCTTGTCTATGAAGTGTCCAGTAATAGCCTTATGTCTAGAAATTTAAAGGGTGTACATACATTGATTTAAAAGTACTTCATTGCTAAAAATGTTAAACACCATTTGGTGACACAGGGTTGCCACAAACCTTCGACTGGTGAAAAACGCAGGTAAAGGTGGAAGCACAGTTAGACGAGGGCTGCCTGTCTCTGGCACATGGAAGTTTTAAAAGCTTTCAAAGTGGACGGCTGAGCCTGTTTGCCGTGTTCTGTGCTCCCCAGCCTGTGAGCACGGGGGCTGCTACAGCCTCGCCTTAGGGAGGAGGAGCGTCCCGGGGAAGTGCCATGCGCTGGCCGGGCTGCGTAGACCCGGATTCAGACCCACGCTGGGCTGAGCGAGTGGCCGCGGCATGGGGTGCGGAGTCAGCTCTGCGGTCTGCCTCGTTGCCCCGTGATGCCCACTTCTCACCGTGACCCTCTCCGGTTTCTAATGGTCAGAAAATTGCAGAAGGGTCTCCTTTGTAGGTACCGTGACCAAATACCCGCTGTCTCACCCCACCGTCACAACTGCCGGTAATGACCATCGTCACACCTGTAAATGTCACTTATTGGGTGTTTCAGCTTTATCTGGGGCCATGTTTCTGCAGTTATGGGTTTCACATGCTGGTTCCTTTTAAAAAAACACATTAAAATATGTAATTGTCAAAATAATAATGTTCATTAATGCAGCACCTAAAAATCAGGTACCACCAGTGCTGTCTGTGTGCCCTGAATTTCCAGACAACATGGAATCGGGGTGAGGTGCAGCGCTCTGGGTGTGGGATGCGGCCCTTTACAGGCTGCTGTGCAGACGGTACAGGCCAGGCAGTGCACGGCACCACCAAGGACGGCAGCAGCCTGTTGCTTCTGTGTTTCCAAGACAAAATCTTAAGTCATTAAGAAAAAATCGAAATCAGAGCTCGTTGCAGTGCCTTGGGTGTCTGTAGCCGTGGGGCCCAGGGTTTGCAGCCAGAGACCGGGCCCCCACTGTCTCAGCAGGCAGAGGTGTCTGGGGGGGGGCGGGTCTCCGGGCGGGCTAAGGGTTGTACCACTAATCAGAAGCGTCATTCTGTGCGTTGTCCCACAGATTGGTCTGTTTGACCTGGAAGTGAACTGCCTCACCAAGATCCTCTTTGGGGCTCTGGTGGTGGTGTCGCTGGTCATGGTCGCCCTCCAGCACTTTGCCGGGCGCTGGTACCTGCAGATCATCCGCTTCCTCCTCTTGTTTTCCAACATCATTCCCATCAGGTGAGCAGAGAACTGGGTTTGATGTTTTCTCCTGCCTGTTCATTTGAAGATCATGGTTTTGTGGTTTTGAGAAGTGGCTGGTCCCTTTGTAGAGTGACGACCAGGAACAGTCAGGGTTGGGAGTGTGGGCCACGCTATGCGGCTGGAGCATTGTACAGGCCCGTCCCTCCCTGCATCATCTGGTCTTGAATTACTCTGTGCTCAAAAGCCTGCCTTGGCTTGCTCAGTCCACACGAGATGGGCCATTTGGATTTCCTCTCATCTGCCAGCTCCAGGAGGCTGGTGGTGGCTGTTGGGGGTGCTGTGTTAAGAAGGATTCTGAGCCTGAGTCTAAGTTCATTGTGACTGATTAACAGTGGAAGCTTCGTGGCACATGCCAGACAATTGTTTGCCTACCACATCTGAAGGCTGAATAAATGGTTAAAGAAATAACATAAGTAATAGATTGTCATAGAAAAAAAAGATTCACAGTAGCAAAAGAATAAAATAAACGCCACCCCTAATCTCACAACTAAAGGATAATTGTTACTATTTTGGGATATATATATTGTCTAGATTGCTTTCTATTTTAGAAAAAAGGAGATTTTGCTCTACGTAAAAATCTGTCCCTGCCCCCACTCTCTTTTTAACTGGATGTGTTGCAGATAACTTTTCATATCAAATATCTTTACACACCATCATTTATTAGAACTGTTCTAGTATATACTCTGTGTGTAATGATTTATTTAGACCCGTATTGTTGGATACTTGTTTCTACTTTTTCCCCCATAATAAATGAACAGTAAATAATTGTTAAAATAAGCCAGATCTTTTCCTGCGCACTTGTAGTGCCTATAAAGTCTCTTACACTTGATATATTGCCCTGTATTCTGTCTTGCTCTTTTGTGTATTTACATCATCCCAGATAGACTTTGTCTTTTTCCAAGGGCAGAGATTTGGCTTTGGTACAATAGTATGACTAGCACAGGGAGACTGGCTCCTGGCCAGGGTGCTCTGAGTGATGGTTTCAAAGAATAAAGAGGTCTAATTTATTGCTAGCAAAAAAGCGTTTGTGCTGTGATGTTACATGTAATTGTAGTCTTTAAAGTTCTGTCTACACCATGATGGAACGTGAGTGAATTGAATCTTCGTGTGGCCTGTGGCTAGTCAGCAGTTAGCCATTTGATTGGTTTATAGGATTATGAATGAATTTGATGATTTCTTTTTATGTTTTGCAATAAAATAATATTTTAAAATGAGTATGACGCATAAAATGGAGTATTATTCAGCCTTAAAACGGAAGGAACTTCTGACACATGCTGCAACATGGATGAACTCTGGAAACATTATGCTAAGTGAAAGAAGCCAGACACAAAAGAACAAGTCATGAATGATTTTTACAAAATGAAGTTCCTAGAGTCATCAGATTCCTAGAGACAGAGAGTAGAATGGTGGTTGCCAGGGGCTGGAGACAGGGAGATGGGGAATTACTATATACTGGGTATGACATTTCAGTTTGGGAAAATGAAAAAGGTCCAGAGAAAGATGGTGGTGATGGTCACATGATAATGTGAATGTACTTAATGTCACTGAAGTATGCCGTTTAAATGCTTTAAGTGGAAAATACTTTAAATGGTAAGCTTTATGTTATGTATATTTTACCAAAATTTAAAAAATGGAAAGTATCAAAAATATATTAGCACAGAGGACTAGTAATTTTTTTTTTAAAGTAAGGCTTGGAGGAGGGTGTAGCTTAGTGGTAGAGTGCATGCTTAGCATGCACAAGGTCCTGAGTTCAATCCCCAGCACCGCCATTAAAATAAATAAGTTAACCTATTTACTCCCCTCCACAAAAAAAAATAATAATAAAAAAGTAAGGCTAAAACAACTACCTTTTCATTATTTTAAATTTTCATATTTTATTTTGGCCCATTAAAGAATGCTTTCATGTGAATTTGATAGTGGTGTAGACTTCCTGTTAAATCTGTGGATTCAGCCCCAGCCGTGTGCTTCTGTTGGGTGTGATTCTAGATCTTATGGCACCGATGAAGTGTGTTTAGAGTCCTTGTTTACAAACAGAGCTATGAACAGTCTGTGGTCTATCCTGTTAACCTGTTTGCTCTGGTTTTCTGCCCAGTCTGCGTGTGAACTTGGACATGGGCAAGATCGTGTACAGCTGGGTCATCCGCAGGGACTCAAAAATCCCCGGGACGGTGGTTCGTTCCAGCACGATCCCCGAGCAGCTGGGGAGGATTTCCTACTTGCTCACAGACAAGACAGGTGAGTTTTCTGGGGCCTTCACAGGATTCAAGGTCAAAGAAGGTGCGTGGAGTCTCCTTCTAAGGTGTTAGAGATGTGTGCTGCTGCTGTTTCGTCTTCTTCATCTTTTGATGAAGGTCGACTACCTGGTGATGACAGTGTTAGCAGCAAAGCCTTACTTGGTACTAATGATGTGGGAAAGTCTTCTGGGTGTTTGGATACAGTTACTTACTGAATCCTCCCCCTGACCTTGTGAGTTAGGTGGTTAAGTGACTTGTGAGAAGCACATAGTGGCAGAGGCAGGCTTTGAACTCAGGCTTCAAGTCCTCACCTCGTAGCCACACCCCCAAATGCTGCTCCACTATTTAGCATCTGTCAGGTGACGAGGTTATCATAGTGGTTGAGAGCAGATGGGGAGACCTGGATTTAAGCTTCGTCTCTACCATTTAATGAGCATGGGATGAAAGGGAGTCTGTTGCAAGGATTGGGGAAACCAGAGAAAAAGAAGAACCAGGGACGTTCTGGCTGTGTCAGCATCAGGACCCCTGGGGTGCTATCTTGTCTCCACTTGTCTTCCATCCACATGTGTCTGTCTGCTCCGGGTTTAGATTCCTTTAGGTGAAAATCGGTTTGGCCTCCCATATGCCACATGCCACTCTCTTGACCAATGGAATGAGTCAGGCACCCTGACTGACACTCCCTCTGGACCATCCCAGAGAACAAGGGTCATAACTCCCCCTAGAAACCTGGGACGCTATTCTCAAAAGAAAGTCCAGGATTCTGGGCCAGCAAAATACCACAGGCGTCTGCTCCAGCAGGAGTAGTACTGAAACCAGCGTGTGACACATAGCAAACTCTCAAAAGAACAAAACTCAACAGCTGTCATGACTGTTCATGATAACAAAAGCCCCAGGATGTCGGCACAGTTACTCATTTGTCTTGTGTTTCAGGAACTCTTACCCAGAACGAGATGGTTTTCAAACGGCTCCATCTAGGCACCGTGGCCTACGGGCTCGACTCGATGGATGAAGTACAAAGCCACATTTTTAGTATTTACACTCAGGTAAAGCCTTCTGTTTCCTTACCCAAAATAGTTGTTTCACATTGACTAACGCTTGTATTGAGAAGAACTCAGAATGCCATGTGATCCACCACCATTAAAAGCATGCACTTCAGTGGCTTTTTTGTGTATTCACAGAGTTGTGTAACCATCACCACAATCAATTTTATCTTCATCCCCCCCTAGAAAGAAACCCAGTTTTCAGGAGCGGTCACTCCTCACTTCCTCCTGCCCACCTTTCCTTCCAAGCCCCTGACATTCACGAATTCTTCACACTTTGAATAAACCCGCGGTTGAAGTTTCCCCCCATCTTCTTCATCCCTGGGGTTAAGCTATTGAAATACTGATGCATATTGGGGGGAAACATAAGAAAATAATCGTTTTCCAATAACTGGTGTTGGAAAGAGCTTTGAGAACCTAATGGTTGGTTTTACTTCAAATTTACAAACATGTTTATTTTTCCCTTCTCGCCAGTTATGAGCCAAAGCAGCAATAATTAATGGGCTACTTGTGAAGTAATTACTATGTTGCTGATTTAGCTCCTCGCCTCTTTTCAGCTCAGCAGCCTTGTGGAAGAAATGATCAGAGATGATGTTCAGTTTATCTGCTCCTGCTTTTTTTCTCCTGCAAAGTTTTTCAAAACCAATCTTTTTTTTTTTTTTAAAAGAAAGATACAACTTGTAAGTGTCCTAAGTTTCCTATAAAGTTAGACCAGTGGGTCCTCACCTTGGCTCCTCATCAAAATTACTGGTAATGTTTTAAAAACAAACAGAATAAAAACAGAACAAAAAACACTGACTTAGGCCTGATACCCTCGAGGTTTGACTCATTAAGATGAGGGGAGAGCCTGTGCTCGCACCTGCATACTTAGCATCGCTGCCCGTGGCTCATGAGGACGGTGTACCCGCCATCCCGACGTTCTTCCTGAATCCCCTGCAGTTGCTTCTCTAAGATGTTCTTGTCTTAGCTGGCACCACTTCCATTTACCCTGAGAGCTCTGTCCACGGTTTTGGGAAATGCCCCTGCTTCCTGCCCCATCGCTGCCTGCCTTCGGTCACAGGTGCATTGCCCCCAGGTCACCTGCTGGGCCCCTCCCCTTCACCCCAGGAGCACAGGATAGCCTGGGATTGGCTGCCCCCCCCCCCGGGGGCCTGTGGCTTCCAGTGTGGTCCAGCCTTGGCTTCCATTCCTGCCCCTGCGCCCTCCTGCTCACCACGTGACACCACTGCCTGCAGCAGGGTGAGCCACCTCATTTCTGTGTCTTGGGATATTTTCTCCTCTGAACCATCAACCCCAGTGCCTTCCGGGCTCCTGCTGAGGGGTGGCTGTGTGGATTGCCATGCTTGTCAGCACCTGGCGGGGTTGCCTCCCTCCCTGTCAGCCCCGTCTCAGCCGTGCTGGCCCTCCGATGGTTATATTAGACAGCTTCATAGAATGAGGTGTGTACCCCCGACAGGAGGCACACCCTTGCCCATTTTGGTTGGTATTTTTAAGAGCTTGTGGTATTTACAGAAGCCACCCTCTCTTGGGATAATTGTATTGTGCAGCTTTTGTGGTCCGTTTTTGGTTTGCAACAGATAATGCTCTTTGTAAAAAGTTTAAAGTCAGAAAACAACATTTCTTACCGTGAACTCTTAACTCATAACCCTCCCTTTGCAGAAGCTCATAAATTGATTTGCCCATCCTGGCCTTGGGTTTAAAACAGCTCGGTGTTACAGGGATAAATTGAAGCTGTGTGCTTCCTTCTCTCATGATGTCTAAAAACCGTGCAGTAAACGCATGAATACTTTTGCGATGACAAGTATGAAGGCTTTCCTGTGTTTTTTTTTAGACAGCTTTATTGATTTATAACATACATACCATAAAATTCAGCCATATTAAATGTACTTAGTCAATGATGTTTTAGTAAATTTACTGAGTTGTGGAACCATCACACTCTCCAATGTTAGGTTATACCCACCACCCTAAAATGATTCTCCTGAGCTTGTAACAGTCATCCCTCTGACCTTTAGAGTTTAATAATGAGGTTTTCTAACAGCGTTTCCTGAAGTGGAGGATTTGGAACTCCTGGATCAGGTCACCTGGGACAGAGTCAGAACCTCTAGGAGTAGTGCCTGGACCTACAGTTTTTTGGGTTTTGTTTTTTTTTTTCTTTTTAATTTTTAAATTAAAAAAAAGTTGTTTTTGGTGGGGGAGGCAATTAGGTTTATTTATTTATTTAGTGGAGGCACTGGGGCTGGAACCCAGGACCATGTGCATGCTAAGTATGCGCTCTACTACTGAGCTCTCCCCTCCCCCCTGGACCTACAGTGATTCCAAAGTGTAGCAAGAGTTGGAGAACAGCTACTGCGCATATGAGGTTTGCCCTTGTTGTTCAGAACATCAGCACTGAGTTTGCAGGATGACCCATTGGGGTGCAAGAAGAAAGGACTAGAGTGTGTATTCACTTCTCATTTTTATCGTCAAAACTAAAGCAAAGTGTCCACCTGACTAACAGCACTGAGACTGACCCAGGGGCCCTCCTTCCATGTCTCAGACGAGCGCTTGTCAGGTGCGGCCTTGAGGTGCTCTGCGGAGGGCGGAGGAATTCTACGACTGTTTGTTTCTGGGACATTGAAATACAGAGTGCATTTTATGGGCGTCCAGGTGACCGGTTTTAGGGATGTTGTTTAACTGAGTTAACCTCATAAAGAGGGCAGGTGGCTTTACAAGATTCCTGCAGGGAAACTCCAGGTGATTAATACAAGGCCAAGCCAACCACAAGAAAATGGCCAACGTTTATGTAATGAGGTGAACCCACAACAGGCTAAGGAGATGTGATGATTTTTTTTCCTCTGACTGACTTCTTTATTTATTGGCACCTTTGAAAAATTGAGATACAGCTCGCAGACCATAAAATTTACCCTTTATAAAGGGTACAGTTCAGTGTGTTTTTTAGCGCATTGTCAGCATCGTGCAGTCATCACCTGCTATCTAATTTCAGAACCTTTTCATCACCCCAGGAAGGAACCCCCATCTCCTAGACTCCCACCTCTCACCCAGCCTCTGGCAACCACTAGTCTGTTTTTTTTTTTTTTTTTTTTTTTATGTCTGTGGGTTTGCCTATTCTGGACATTTCAGATAAATGGAATCAGTCAGTACCTTTTGCACCTGGCTTATCTCACTTGCCATAATATCTCCAAGGTTCTTCCAGGTTGTAGCTTGTGTCAGGCCTTCGTGCCCTGGTGTGAGTGAGGAGCAGATGTGGCAATTTGAAACGTAATTTTAAATCTGTAATTCCCAATGCCCCTTACCCTGAGTGTGTGTTTTGTTATTTTGAGATACTAGCTAGTTCTGTGAATAATGCTGTTTTCATTTTTATCGTATCATTTTAGAATTTTTTTATAATGCCCAATACAATATTTATACAAAATGAAATACATGTGTGTAGAAGGTACTTACATTTTTTCTCAACGTGCTCAAAATATTTTGAGACAACTAGTCTGTATTACTTGGACTGTGTAGTCATTGTTTTATTTTACTCCCCTTCGCAAGTGGAAATACCTTTATTTAACTCTTGTTAACATATATGTCCCTGAAAAAAATGAATGACTGTGGAGAGGGGGAGCCTCATGACATCCTGTTGCAGACAACACCCAGATGCGCGCTTCTGCGTGGTCTTCTAGGCTGATCTGCACGTGTAAACTCACAGCTTTCCGAAAAACAGTCGGCATTACTTCACATGTGTTGATCTGTGAACTGTGGTTTTTTTCACGTAGTATTCTGTCTCTGATGCTGTTTCAGGATTTGTGAGAGTTGGAATTGACAGCATTTTTCTTCCTTTTTCATAAGGATATTGGTGAATGTGTGAGTTTGTGCTTTACTTTCCTAAAGGAGACACGTATGTGCTGGATGCGTTCAGTTTGTCAGGACTTAGACTGCGTCCCGTACAGGGCGCGTCTTGTTTCCTGCGTCTGTGGGAAACACAGAGACAGTTATGTTTTCTTGAGGAAGGATTTTTTTTTTCTGTGTTTTTTTCTGGGACACAGAGCTTACTTTGTTTTACTCATTTAAAAAAACTTGTATAGTTTTTTAGGATCTTTTTTTTTCTGCAGAAAAAATAAATACTATATATAAATACAAAGAGAAAAACATTGAAATCACCTATAGTCACATCACTCAGACATAACCAGTGTCAACACCTGAGTGTAGAGAATGCCAAGGTCTTTCTCTGCCTTTGTGTGTCTGTGATGTGTGCTTTGTTTCTCTGTTTTTTATTTTTCTTTTCAATAAGAAAGCGTCATAATTTTTGTAATTCTTTTTAACAAAGTTGAGCATCAGAATTGCATGTAAAGTTTAAAATTACATAGATATGCCTGGGCCCTACTTTAAGTGTTGAGGGCCCAAGCATATATATTTCTTAAAATCTTTTATCGGTTATGCAGACAATAATTTCTGGCTGAGAACCGCTGTTAGAATAACACTATCCAACTTTTTTCTTTCACTCATGTTGTGATAATTGTTAATGGTTTTTATAATAGGACCGGGATTGAGGGGGTTAAGGAGCATGCATCGAGGGAGCAAAATGTATTGAGATGGCGAAAAAACACAGGAATCAAGACAAATCATATTGTGAGCAATATTAAAAAAAAAAAAGCCTTCAAAATTCATGCAAAAAATCCAAATCTTAAATGGACAGGATTCAATTCAGCACTAGCACCGCTGGGCTTCCCCTGCGTCCTGACCCTGGTGTCATGGTGGCAGTGGCTTTATATACAGTTCTCAGCTGGGCATATTGACATAATGGGCTGGATGCTGCTCTTTCGAGGGGGCCGCCCTGTGTGTTGTAGGATGTTCAGCAGCATCCTTGCCTTCTACTGTCAGGATGCCTGGAGCAGCACCCCCCTCCCTCACCATGACAACCCCAGATATCTCCAGACACTGCCCAGTGCGGGGCAGAACCTCTCACGTCAGAACCCCTGTGTTATACGTGGTTCCGTGTCAGTGAACTGAAGTTTGTCGCCTTTGGCACGCTAAGAGACGTCGCCTATTAAATGGTAGATGGTGTATTTATTCAGTCGCTGAATCAGCCTGTCGGTCAGTTGATTCATTTGGAAGTAGCAGCTCCAAGCCTGTCTCTGTGAGGGTGGCCCTTGGAGGTTGATGAGTTCCCAGCTTTGAGCTTTATTTGGGGGATGAAGTAGGCTGATGGAAGCAGAAATTTATTCCCTTCAATGGTATATTTTTACCAATTGCAACCCGTCCATGACATCTGTTAATATTACGCATGTTCGTCAGTGGTGATGTTTCCACTGCTTTTAGAGAGACATTTGGTATTCATGGTGACTCAGCATGTAGTTTTTGTGTTAATCTTCCCTGAAACACAGGCTGGAGTTCTCATTGGGAAATACCTCTGCCGTGGATTATTAATGAGAAATGAAGGCCTGTTTTTCCGTTGAGTCTCCATGTCTCATTTGTTGGCCGAGGTGCCGTGGAAAGACCGAAGCGTTACATGGTGCGAGGTGCCCCCGCCCCCGCAAGGGCCGAGTCGGGCCTTTGTATCTGGAGAGCTGGGTTCCTCGCCCAACTGCTGACCTCCCTGTTCTGCCCTCCCGCCTTAAGAGGACCAGTGGTTTCTGCCCCAGGGCAAAAAAAGTCATAACCTGCCTCTGTGGATGCCACATCTGTTTTTATTTTCCCCTGGTATTTTTTAAGTAAGAAGAAATGTGTGTAGGTTAAAGGGCCCGTGGGGAGGAGGCTGGAGATAAACACTGTACAATGTGAAACTCTTCCATATGGGGAACGTGGGGACGTTTGGCAACTGGGCCCAGTACTAACGCTGGCTGAGCCCCTGGTTATTCTGAGCGCCTTCGTGATACTCTGCGGCACCATTTGGTGTGTGTATGAGCCTTTTGTTTGCAAATTAAAAGAGAACTTCAGAATCAGTGGTTAAGACCCCTCTTCCCTGAAACGTCTTAGTAGGAAAGGGGGACAAGTATCAATTTAAGAGAGAGAGAAATGAACGTGGAGACACTTAACCAGTCTCCCGTGAGGTTGGTCTGGGTTAACCACCCTCATCGTCTAGTTTGCTGTCAGGTGGTCCCCCTGTTCTGAGAGTGAGGTCTTTGCAAAAATCTGGGCGGTGGGTCTCTTTTTGCCTCGCTCTGGTGTGGTTTCACCCACAGTGCAAACCCCCCAGAGCTCAGTTATCCTATGTTTGAAATATTAGTGGAAGTATTTGACTTCTGGAGACATAATCAGATTGCTTATAAAATTCAAAGTTTTGTGAAAGATGCCCTTAACTCAGCTTTCATTCAAACCCCTGTTAGGAAAGCTTGCCGGCCAGAGCAATTACTTTGTCAAAGGTCTTGTTATTGCTCCTGATGTTAAATAATAATTTGGTCCAGGTGCTGAGGAATGTGGGCAAAAAAAAAAAAAAATGAAGACACGCATCCATGGCTAGAACATAAATTACAAAACTCAGAAAAAATGTTTTTGATTTAGTCTCTCCAGGAGTGAGGACCTTTCTGTAAATCTTTAGTCCTCCTTATGATTTTAGAGGTAAATTCTTTATAATTAAAAGCACTTGGCAAATAATGATTCATTTAAACTGTAGTTCTGATATATTACTCTAATTATTGTTACCATGCAGTGCCCTTTGGCCTGGAAGTGAAACTTGTGTCCTCTTGACACCAAAGGTTAACAGAGCAGGAAGCCAGAGCAATGTGTGTGCCTGCATGACCAGAATAATTTAGTAATTGTCTAATTACCTGAGGAGTCTAATGCCACTGCTAAAAATAGTATTAAAAAATCAAATGAAAGTCCTTTTCTTGTTTCTCATAACCCATCTGTTCTCTATTTTGGGCAACCATGTGTTCATGGGTATAAAACATGATTCATTCTAAAAGATCGGATCGCTTCTCCTCCGTCGGATAAAATATGTTTTTAATGCAGCAGAGTATTCAGTAAGTCCACAGGCATCTCTAGCTTCTGAGACTCAGTTGTGGAGGCAGGAAGGCTCTTGCAGATCCTTTGTCCCAGACAGCGATTTAAAATCTGGAACTGATGTTGGTCAATTTGATATTTATTTCTTCTTGGAGATAGAAAGAGAAATTCATATCAAGTGAAGACATCTCACCATCACCTTAGGAATATTAAGTTGTTCATTTGTTCAGCAAATATCTGATGCCCTAGACAAGTCAATAGACAGGCTATCTGTTCTTATGGTCTAACAGGAGAATTACAGGTAAACAAGCCAGTTTTAGACAATGAAGACAATAAAACACATGGTAGTATGGAAACATGACTTCCAGGGGAAAGGCCACATGGGAGGAGTGTGGAGTAAGAGGCTCAGAAGGCATCTTTGAGGAGGTAGCATTTGAATTGGGACCTGAATGATGAAGTTGGATGAGCTAGCCCTGCAGGGATTTGGGACATGGTATTTCAGGCAGCTGATACAGGAGGTGCAAAGGCCCTGAGGCAGGAAGGAGCTTGGAGAGAGAAGCTGATCAGGTGGGTCTTGTGGGTCATGGGAGGGCATCTGAGTCTAAAGGAACACTAAGCCACAGACTGTTAACAAGTGGTCACTTTCCAGTGTCTTAATTTTTTATTGTTATATTTTAAGGCAATAGAACCTTCTCTTCAAAGCAAGGCCGTCATGGTACCTGATGTGTAAAGCAGGTGGGAAAGGGGCTGTTTGCTCTCCACATTCGGTGGTGCTGACTGGGTTTCTTGGGATTCCTGGTACTCAGTATGTGGATTGAAAACCACCCCCTGGCTTGCTCCTTTCATGTACAGGAAACCAGGGCCCAGAGTGCGGATGGGACTGGTTGAGGTCACACAGCTGTTCATACCCCATCCAAGAATAAAGCTCAGCTTTCTTAACCTTCAATGTTCTTTTTACCATGTTGCTCTAAACCATTTCCCCAAGATTTAACCCATTAGGGAGCCAAGCCAGGTGGTGAAAGCTCCGAATGAAGGGATGGATGAGGGCTGTGTGAGCCACAGAACTGCTCCTTAGACCAGAGTTAGGGTCTGCAGTCAGTGTGGGAGGCAAAGCCTGAGCACGTGTAAGTTTGCTCTTGAAAGTGTGCCCGACGTGGGGTTCTCCGTGCCCTTTTGCAATATGTTCGTCCCGCCAGGCTTCCTTCCGGTTGTCACTGATGCTCTCCCTCCTGCCCCGGGTGGCGTGTTGCTGATGGTTATAACCCTAGAGCTCCCGTCGATGCTGCTGTCTTCAATTTTAAACCAATAAGAATGTGCACTTAAGACTGTGGTTCCAAACGGGATGATTTTGGTCTCCATGGGGCATTTGGCAACATCTGAAGACATTTTTGGTCTCTTGTTACACCTGGGGGTTGCTTTTGGCATCTAGTAGCTGGAGGCCAGGGATGCTGTGAAACCTGCTGTGCACAGGACGCTCCCCAGCGAAAATTATCCTCCCCAGACATCAGGAGTGCCGTGGTCCAGAGGCCCTGGTCTGAACCACCAGCATTGCTTGCAGTGTGGTGGGGCCTTCGCTCGGTCAGAGGCCCCCAGCTCCACCCAAAGGAAGATAGCATTCACACGTTCTCAGGTACAGTCATGCACATTCACTCAGTTGTCATTTTTTCCTCTGTTTATTTTGCTTTTTTTTTTTGGCCTAGTGCAAGTGACTGGATCCCTGAGAATCCACGCCCTTCCTGGCAGCGTCACCCCTGAGAGTTATGAGTGTCGGAGCAGTAGAAGGAAAAGCAATAAACTCCGCACCGTCATTTTTTTCCCTCCTGAGGCCCCTCTGTGCCTCTAGTCATCTTCCTTATGTGTTCCTTCTTCCTGCAGCAGCCCCAGGACCCGCCTGCTCAGAAGGGCCCCACACTCACCACCAAAGTGCGGCGGACCATGAGCAGCCGCGTGCACGAAGCGGTCAAGGCCATCGCGCTCTGCCACAATGTAACCCCCGTGTACGAGTCCAATGGCGTGACCGACCAGGCCGAGGCCGAGAAGCAGTACGAAGACTCCTGCCGCGTGTACCAGGCTTCCAGCCCAGACGAGGTGAGCCCCGGCCCACAGGGATGCCCTGTCCACTTTCCACCTGCCCCAGGTTGGGGGTTCCTAAGGGGGAGCACCTGTCAGGGCAGCGAGAGCCTGGATGATGCTGGGCCACCAGGGAAGCACGCTCTCAAATGCCTGCGGGACTCTGTCTTTCTGAGGGGAGGTAACCTTGGACTTGAGATGCATCCTGAATTAGGAAAGAGTGGGAGATCTTGTTTTTGGTTCAGTCAGCCAGTGCATGAGGGGCACAGGTCCCATTAAAACCACATTCCTTTTTTTTTAAAAAAACAAAACAAAACAGCTTTATTAAGATGTCATCTGCATATCATACAGTCACCCAGCTCACGTACACTTCAGTGGGCTTTTTTTAAAAGTGTTTTCATGGAGTTATGCAATCATTGCCACCTCTGATTTCAGAACATTTTCATCATGCAAAGGAAGTACCCCGTGCCTGTATTCCCCTAGACCGCGACCCTCCCTCTCCGCAGCCCCGGCAGTCGCTGACCTGTTTTCTGTCCCTATGGATTTGCCTAATATTCGCATTTCATACAAATGGAAACATACACTATGTGACATCTTCTGTCTGAATTCTTTCACTTAGCATGTGTTTTCAAGATGCTTTCGTGCAGTGGCATGTATCTATTTCATGCCTTTTTATTCCATTGAATAGATAATGCTACACGTTGTTTATCCGTTCACTGGTTGGTGGACATTTGGACTCGTTCTTTTTTGGGGGGAGGGGCGGTTATGCTGTGAACGTTTGCGTCTAGGCTTTTGAGTGGACTTGTGTGTTCATCTCTCCTGGTGTATCTGTAGGACAGGGGTTGCTGGGTCATGTTAACTTTGCGTTTATCCCTCTGAGGACCTGCCACACTGTGTTCTGAAGTGGCTGCACCGCTTTAAATTCCCGCCGGCAAGGTGTGAGGTTCCAGTTTCCCCACATCTTTGCTGACGCTTGTCATCCTCATCCTTCTGATTCTAGCTGCCTAGTGAGTGTGAAGGGAAACCTCTCTGTGCTTCTGATTTGCATTTCCCTGATATCAGGCTAATAACATTGAGTATCTTTCATGTGCTTACTGGCTGTTGTGTATTTTCTTTGGAGAAATGTCTGTCCATATCCTTTGCCCTCTTTGAATTGTGCTAAGTGTCTTTCTGTTACTGAGTTGTAAGAGTTCTTTATATGTTCTAGGTAAAAGCCTCTTATTAGGGTAGGTGACTTCCAAATACTTTCTCCTATTCTGAAGGCTGTCTTTTATGTTCTTGATGGTGTCCTTTCAGACAAAAGATTTTAATTTTGATGAAGTCCAGGAAGCCGCATATTTTTAAGTTACTGTTTGTATCTAAGCGTAAACTCTTGCTAAAACCAGAAAGATTCATTTTATTCACATTCAAGAGCACAGGACCTGGTAAGAGAGTAAGAGTCACTGTGATTATCCCCATTTTCAGAAGAGAAAAATCAAGGACACAGGGGTTAAATGTTTAGCTTGAAGTCCCTAGTTTATTTTTTTTAAGAGTTCAAAGAATAGTGACTTGACTTTTCTTTTTATTATTTTTTGATTGAAGTATAGCTGTCTTAAACGATATTAGTTCCAGGTGTGCAAATAGTGATGCAATATTTTTATGGATTATACTCCATTTAAAATTGTAAAATACTTGCTATATTTTCTGTGCTGTACATTACATTTTTGTATCTTCCCTGGACTTTTTAAGACTTTTAAAATTTTGAAATAATTTCAGATTATGGAAAAGTTGTAAAAGTACCATGAAGAATTCCCTTTTACCAAAACTACACTCAGACTCTTCAAGTGTGAACACTTACCTGCTTTTGCTTTGTCATTTTCTCTCTCTCGTGCCTTTGACGAGTACGCTTCAGGCATGATCCCCCTTTTATTCCTAAATATTGCCTAGAAACATTTTCCTAAATATTTCCCTACAAAACAAGGACATTTAACAAAGTTAGGAAATTGATATTGATACAATAGTGTTATCTAACTTGCACATCTTATTAAATTTCATCAGCTGTCCTACTTGCTTTTTTTAAAAAAAAAAAATGTATTTTCCCCAGATCAGGATCCAGTCCAGGCGCGCACCCTGCACTGAGCAGTTCCACCTCTGGGGCCTCTTTAAACCTCAGTTTCCCTTGACCATCACGGCCTGGGCTCTGTTGAGAAATGCAGGCCATCTGCTCTGTTGGACGTCTCTCAGTCGGCATCTGTCTGGCATTTTTTCTTACGATGTCACCCAGGTTGTGCATTTTTGGCCCCTGCCCGTCTCAGTGCATGTTATCAGGAGATGCATGATGTTGGCGTGTTCCGCTCTTGGAGGTGCTGGCTTTTGGTTTCTTGGCCAGGGTGGCGTCTCGCAGGTGTCTTCCCAGCAAATCCCGGCATCTTCCGGGGCTGAGTCCTCTGGTAACACCAGCCTCCTGAATGACAGGGCCAGGGTTTTAACCCTGGGAGTTTGATGTCAGGGCCCAAATTCTTTTACTTGTTTACTAATAAACCTTTTACTAAACCATTTTTCAGAAGCCACTAAATAGTCATTTTAATTAATTGGATATATACTTTTTTCACAATGTTTTCATGTTATTTTTTCCTTAAAAAATGAGGATTTTAATATAGGCATGGTTTTGTAGCTTCCTTTTTCACTTAATATTTTCTCATGCCCGTTTCTCAATTTTCTTGAATGTTATTAAAAAAAACGGCTTTCCAGATTCACGGCTGATATATGGACCATAATATCTTTAATTGTTCTCATATTATTGGAATTTTGGTTACTTCTAATTCTGAGCAACAGTATTTATAAACATTTGCAGTGAACATCCTTATACCTGAAATGTCTAGAAGTGGTGTGTTTGAGTTCAGTAATTTCGTAGGTAGTTTTGAGTGCCTTTAAGTTTTGAGGGCTGGGCGCTGGAATCTGCGTTAAACCGGACCTAGGGGGCAGTGGGAGTGAGACACTTGAGCACATGAATCTTGGGTCCCCAGCTCCCCGCGTGGCCGGGTTCCTTATCCTCGCTGTGTGTCTGTGACACGGGGCCCACTCGAGGGTGCTGTGAGGGCCTCAGTCGCTGATCAGAGAATCCTGTGGGTCAGACTGAATGAGCATGTTTAAGGCTCATGATGTAAAGCACCAGCATGCTTCCCAGAATTTTTTTTTTTTTTACTATTTTACTCTTCCACCAATGTTACAAGGATTACAATTTTCTTTTTCTTTCCTTTTTTTTTTTTCATTCATTTTGAGAGGGAGGGAGGGGCTTCTCTGGTACATGAAGTGTTTTGAAGATCTGGACGCACCTGGGAATATTGGTGAGCCAGTTAGTGTGGTTGGGGGCTGGCACAAGAGAAAGCTTTTAAGAAGTTCAGAGATGGAAGAACACTCGGACGCGTCTTGCCCTGTCCAGTCCCTTCTTTCTCCTTTCCTGGGGCAGTGGAACGTGTCCCTGCGGAGCCTTCCTCTCGCCGCCTGCTCCGTGTCTGTGGACAGCCCAGGCTGTGAAGCCCAGTTCATCCGTGACCGCTGATATTTGGACCAGGCTTTGTAGGGGTGAAACATGTTGATTGTGAGATGAGAATTGTGCAGAGAGAAGGAAGGGGAGGAGGAGAAGCGTGGATGAGCGCCGATCTGCTGGGACTTGTGCGCTGGAACCGGAAGCTCGTCCCGCTGTCGCCGTTTCTCCTCCAGCGTTGGTCTGCTGGACCTTCTCCATGTTGGAGGGAGGATGGCACCGCTGAACGGGAGGTGAGATAAAGGACCAGACTCTGGTAGTTACGGACTGGGGACCAGTAGCTTGTGGTATGTGATAGAATTTGAATTTGAACAAGTTCTAGATGTTGGTGACCTGATCAGCACTTGTGCCTGTGGACTTCCAGGACGCCTGTTGGCCATTGACGTGCATTTGTGACTTGTCCTTTTTTTTTGACTTTTTATTTTGGTGGGAGGGGGAAGGTAATTAGGTTTTTTTTTTAAATTTTAGAGGAGGTACCGGGGATTGAACCTAGGACTTCATGCCTGCTAGGCATGTGCTCTGCCACTTGAGCTACACCCTCCCTCCCTGTGACGGTCTTTAATCCCCGTGCCACACCCCTGGTTCCCACTGAACTTTGATGTATTTGTTTTAGGGCTGTGCAAAGGATTTTCCATGCGGGTGAATCTTCCGTGGAATGCTTTATGCTTCTGACCTCCTTTTTCTTGAAGAGAGTAGTCCTTTATCTCTTCTGTCCATTAATTGCACTCATATTCGGATTTGTTTGGTTTTTCTAAGCTTCTGAGTAATGTTTCTTTTCCTTTTTTATGATACAGTTATTTTCTTTTGGTCTTTGGTGTCCTAACAGCAGTCAGTGTTACCTTCTTGGTATCCTTTTCCCTCACAACTTTACTATTTTTTAACTACAGTTATTTCATGTTTATGATCGAATATATGAAAATACAGATAAGAAAAAAAAGTAAACCATAATCCTACTAACTGAAGGTGAAGCCACTGTTAATGTTTTACTCACCAGCCTTTTAAACTATTGCAAAAGATGTGGGCCTCAAAATATAAATGTTTATATAAATACACCATGTGGCAGAAAAGTAGGCTAAATCTAGATACAGCAGAGTCTGTCAGAAAGCCGTACTGTTTCCAGATCCCTGTAGGATTCCACGTAGACGTGGCTGGGTCTAGAGTCCTACCTTTGAAATTCTATATCAAGAAAACATTGCTGCTGTGGGCAAGGTCAGTGCATGGAGTGCATACAGGAGCCAGGATTCGTTTTACGTCGGAGCTGCCGGAGTAATTTCTACCAGTTGGCGTAGGGTTCGTTTCCTGTAACAGAAAGCAGGATTTCCTAAATTTGTTTCCTGTGCGCATTCCGCTCGGGAAGGCTTGAAGTGTCTTTATTCAGCTATCGGTTACAGCCTGGGGGGCACTGGGCCCTCCCCGCCACCGTACAGTAACTCCCGGGGAAGGGAGACAGATGAAATCTGGCTGGAGAGAGGTGCCCCTAAGAGGCTGGAGC